CCTGTGTGCTGTAGCTTCTAATCAGAACCTCTGATAAAGAAGGTCTGCCTACACATAGAGGAAACCACAGCACACACACAGGACTGAGGCATGGCATGTGCACAGCGCCCTAAGTGCCCTTTTTAAAGAATTTATGCAACAGTTGAATGCGTTTAACTACAAACAATTATGGATGTGTATTTCTGCTGTGCCTTCTGTCTTCCTGTGTGTATGTAGAACTATTAAGTGTGCAGGATAATTGTTGTGTTGCATCTAGTTGTTAAATGATAAATTTGCCACATCTGTATAATGGACCACTTTCCTCTGAGTAGCCGAGGGCAGAGGTCAGCACGCTTGGAAATGATTGAGAGTACACCAGGGAGTACCATGGGAAGTGATTTTTTTTAACAAAAGGTTTGAACTGGTAATGACCCTGTGTAAACCCTGAGAGAAGAGAATTGTTTCTGGTTTCCCTCCATGTATCTATTAAAGTCTAGACAGGTTACTGGCTGGACGAGTTCTAAGAATGAACAAGAACTGTCTCAATGTAACAAGAAAGCTGCTTCATTTAGGAGCAAGTATATGTGTTAGCTTAAAACATTAAGACAAAAAGGAGATATAAAGTTGCAGTTTACTTAATTAAAGTCAAGCATGAAGGAATGGGAGCTGCAACAGTTTCTCTGCCTGACTTGTTGGATCAACAGAAAAATATGCAGGACACATAATCTACTTTTTAAGTCAAACACAAAATAAGACATCATTGTAAAAAAAAAACCTGCTAGAAGTTTAATTTAGATTTAGATGGAGAAAATAGTCATATTCAATAAATTACAATATGTGTGACGATGAGGTTCATTTGTCAGATTAAAAGTACCTTTTGAAAATAACATTTAAGCAGGCATGAAACACACTTTTTATTAAGCACACATTTCTGTTTTTAGAAATAGTTTTTTATTTGTTTAATGTAATATTCCAATATTAAATGTCATGCTTTCAAGAAATAAAGGCTTTCGAACTGTGTGACTCTTCAACAGGCTAATTTATTGAATGCATAGAAAATAACCTTAGGTCCTCTCTCCTTTCCTTTGACATTGTCCTTTTTATCATTTCCTCCTTTCACTCACCTTCCTTCATTCTCTCTCCTCTTAGCCTGACACACTGCACCATCTGGGACTTTTTAAACAAGATGCATTAAACACAGCAATCTCGCAGACCACACCTGTGACTCATTGCCATAATAAGAAAACAAATCAAAACATACACATGAATATTTAAAAAGGTGAAAAGTATATATTTCTCTGTATATATACTCTTACTATCCTTCTGGAGAGTAGAAGGAGAATCTGTTTTTAAGAGGAATAGATTAAAAATAATTATGTTAGCTGTAAAGTTCAACAGTTTGCTCTGAAGTTAAATGGCCAACTAATCATGTTATGAAACATTTCTAGTTTCTAAATAAAGAGTATTGAATAATAAAGGCAAAACTTTTATGAGTAACTCTAAACTGTAGTTTTCTATTGACATGTAGTAGCTACATTTCTTCCAATAGCTCTGGTGTAAAGACTTTCTCTTTAAAGCAGAGTACCTGTTCTAGTGTACACTGGCGACTGCAGTCCAGTTTACCACTATGCCAGCCTTTCCATTGTTTTTAATCAGACCAGCTCCCTTCATCCTGCCCCCACCAGTCCTCCTCCTCTGCCTTTTTATCTCCACCTCCTGTTTTAATCCAGAAAAGCCCCTGTCAACAGGACGGAGAAACCTAACTCACCGTCCTTTCATATGCCAGCTCCACCACCCTGTCTTTCTTCTTTCTCCAAAGTCTGTTTCTTTTTTTCTTCTTTGTCCTGACTCTATCCTACCACTACTACCCCCACCTTTTCTATGTTTTTCACCATCTCTCTCTCTCCCTCCCTCTGCCTCCCTATTTGTTTCTAGTGTTGCAAGCTAGTAGGCTTTACCGAACCATTGTTCTGGTATCCCCACATTTCCGGAGGCTGACGCTTGCAAAGGAGTCAAACTCCCGCTGCCTAACCCTCTCTTACCTGGCCACACACACATTTCTAAGGAGGCTGTCTGGTGTAAAGAAAAAGAACAATCCTAAACACACAGTTGCAGATTTGTATGTACCTGAAAGGGAGGTAGTAAACTGAGCAGGCACTTTAGGTTAGAAAGCAAACCCAATGAATGTGGTATAATCAAGAAAGAGCAAAGCTGTTATGGTTACTGTTGGCATAAAAAAAAAAGCTTTATGTTTACGTCCCATTAGTGAAATTTCTACCTCTCAGAGAGAAACAGAAAAAGGTGAAAAGGAAAAGTGGAGCATGGCTGAATTATTTGTCATTGCTGTCTCTGAGTGTTTCTCCTCTTTCATCAAACACACAAACAAACTGACATCTATTCATTTGTGCACATCCAATTAACCCACTCTCTAACCCGGCTGACCCTTGACCCCACAGCTCGTCCTCCTTAAGTGTCAGTTTGAATGGACAGTTTCTTAACACTGACCTGACAACACACAACACTTTCAATTTGCAGCTCTGATACACACCAGCAACGACCAAGGTTTTCCTTTTTCTTCTACTTAACTTTCATTTTCACTTTTTCATCAAGGTTTTTTTAAATACTTGCAGAAGCACACCTGTAGTTTTAGATGAATATCACAGACTTATCTGTAGAACTGATCTTTTGACATTTATCAAGTGCATCTATCTATTGAACCTGATGAATGTTTAATTGCTTTGTACACTGCATGTTTATTAAAATGTTATTATATAATGTGACATGGTTACTTTACATCAAGAAAGTCCTGGGTTCATATGGACTCTGCATCTTCTCCCTGTTCACGCATGGATTCTCTCTGGGTACTCTGGGTTTTGTGACTCTGGGTTCCTCCCACAGTCAAAAAACAGAACTGTCAGGTTAGCTGGTTACTCCAAGCTAAGCCCACTTCTCATCTAATAACTGCTGGAATGAGGCACCATGAAAGAGAACCAGATGACAGCACATCTGTCAGCACAGTAACTTTCTAAAATTCATATAGTCATAATTCAATTGTTAATATGAAACTCAGACCAACTTTTTTAATATTCAGTGAAATGCCATCATGGACAAAATGGTTCATCGCTCAACTCTGCAGCACAAAGAACACAAGTCAAAGGAAGAACCAAAATGAATAGTAAAACTACCCATTATTTTTGGAAAGTATTTGTGCGTTTTTCCTAAAATCATGAAGTCCTGTTCAATATTATCAAATCATGTCTGAAATGATCGCAAATTTACCAGCTGTCAATGGATAAACCTGATTTAAGTTGAATCCAGTGGGCTTTCAAGGAGCAGCACCACTTGTAGAGGCTCAGACTAGATTCTCAGTTCAGAATGAATACATTAAAAATCAGAAATAAAGCATGAAACTTAAAAATTCACGCTCAACAACAGAACCGAGAAGCTCAGCAGAGATCAGAATGGTAAATATCTGCGTTAGCAGATTTCTCTGTGGAACGGAGCTCCAAACCAAAACACCTATTTGCATAATTTTTCATAAAGCATATCAAAAGTAGTTGAAAGAAATAAACCTTTGCAACCTGAAATGCCTAAACATAAAGCTACTTGACCCACTATTGGCTGATGTTTGCCAAGCGGTCAATCCAGGAGTGACTTTTATTTTCCTTGCCACTGATTGGCTGAATCCACAAGAGCAGAGATAAGGATGGCCGTGAATATTAGCTTCTGTGGTAGTACCAAGACAGTTTTCACAGCCAGTTGAACCCTCACTGGGCAGCAGGAGCTAAACTCAATGTTCTTAGTGAGACAACAACAGTGGCACATTAGTAAGCCTATATCTTATGCTGGTTGCAGGCAGTAATGTTTTTCTGTCCTCCAATCAATTCGTGTGCTGTGTGACGCAAGAAAGTCCACCTCACTGTACCATACCACGGTCCTATGGACCTACAAAGGGCACCCAGGAATGCTGTGGTACTGGTCGGTTTTACAATGGAAACAGGCAAAGTAGCGTACCCAACCACACTAACCCATGCCGTACAGCTCAGCAGAAACATGGTACATGTTAACATGGGGTCTGTAGCTCAGAAAGAAAAAGCAATAGTCAAGCACAGTACATATGGACTGTGGATGTTTGCAGTTTGCTCCAAGTCATGTAAAAGACGCAACAAACATGAAGAAGAAGATGCTTTTATCAGATGAGACAGATTTCACTGCACCTTGGCTATTTCTCAGTAGGTAAGAATGAGCAGTGATTTCTGTCTCAGGTCAGAAATCATTGACCTCAAGACACTTTTTGGTTTTCGGTACCTAAAAAAATTTGGCTGTAGCTGCAATGAGATAAAATCTGAGAAATCGGAAGTGGTATGAATACTTCTGCAGGGCAATGCATAATGAAAGAAATACTGCAGTGTCACCACTTTACGCCTTTACTTTAACAACCTCGATCACATAAAATACCAAACACAAACACAGTCTGAAAAGCTAGATGACGATCATATAGGTGTGAAGTTAGTGCCTCTATTTGCGGATTCAGCTGGCCTGTTTTAGGAGGACCATAAACAGGGTGACACCTCCCACAGAGATGCAGAGAGACAGAACAGGGGATGACCTCGGAGACCCTGGGGCACCAGAGGCCCTAAAAAAGAAACATCTGCAATCTTATCTGTGTTCAGAAAGACACAGCAGCCAACCGGGTGGGAGCGTGGGATCTGTCACGACTCTTGTACGTCTTTTAGGAATAACAGGTGGGGACAATAAGAAATGACTGAGAAATGAATGAAACTGAAAGAGAAGTTAAGCTTTCCACACAACTTCAGGAGATCACGCTGGAATACCTCTCAGGTGAGCAAAGCAGCAACATTAAGGCGTATATCATCTCTAATCTGACATATATGCTCCATATTTTCCACAGACTAATCAAAGAAAGCCCCGTGACGTGGAGATCCCGTTCACTGGATCACTTCTGAGGATTTGTTCTGCAGCAGAGACCGACTTCAAAGCTCAGTGTGCAGTCTACTTACCGCAGAGGAGTATTAACAGCGCGGCTTGCATCTCTGAGCGCTCATCCACACGGGCTGCCCGCCTGCCTGCCTAGGAAAGGCAACAATTTGGGTTCAAGTCAATGAATATCACCGCTATTGGAGCGCTTTGATGGTTTACATGATACATTTGTTTATTTCACGAAGAACACAACTTTATGAAGGAGTTTGGCTTCGTTTTCCTTTCTTTAATGAACTCTATATGTCACAGGGAGACATTTTATTAATTTAGTTTTTTTTAGTATTATTTCTTCAGCTCAAACTTTGGAGATTCGGTGTTTATAAGTACTCACTTCCATAAATGCTCCATTTAAAACAAACGAGCAAGAGACTGTGCACAATGTGTCTCTAAATGTTAGCAAACACAAGGGCGAAAGTGAACTCACCGTGTTTGTCCGGTTTGAGATGTTCGCAGTTCTGTTTCCCCTCCGAGCACTTGTTGCGGAGCTCCGTGGTAAGGGAGCCCTCAGCTCCTGCGCCTCTCTGTTGGAAACCCCGGAGCTGGACTCTGGCGGAGTGGAGTGGAGTGGAGTGGCCAGGTAATAAGGGAGGTCCTATGGGTGCAAGGGGGTGGGGTGGGTGTTAGAAGATGACACGATAGAAGACACAATGGAAGCAGGGTCACGGAGTCACGGTGAGTGTATTTAATGTTTTTTCATAATAGTTTAAAGTAAAATGCTTTGTGTTCTCTGTGTCCTTTATATTTTTTTCAACAAAAATCAGAAATGTACGTGTGCATTTGTATTTAGCAGACCTTCTGCACAAAAACGAGGAATTTGACTTTGACTCCACTTTGCACTGAGTGAAAACATTTAATCGAAGCTTGTTCTGTCAATATGTAGATGTATGGCGTTTTTACAAAATGTCAAATTAGTGAAATTATGCATAGTATCAATCTGTCTATTCATCAGAGACATTTGGAGGAAGAAACCGTCTCTGTGGAGACTGGTTCTCAGCAAATAGTTCTCTGTAGCCTCAACCTGAAGGTCAAAGTCTAAACAGTTTGTGTCCACGATGTGCGGGTTCTGCAAAGATTTTAGCCACCCTTTTCCTGACACCTGTTCTGTAAAAGTCCTGGATGGAGGGAAGGTTCTATTATTTTCTCTTCGAATGATTGATTTTGGCACTTACACCTGATACTCCCAAATAAGAATCAATGAAACAAAGGTAATTCAGAAGTCCAGTGAGACAAAATCAGGGATAAAGTAGTGGAGCAGTTTGAAACAGCTATGAATATCAGATGGAGTACTGATCAGTTTATTATCTGAAAATGAAGAGAATGGTACAACTGAAAAACTAGCAAGGTAACTTTTTAACCTAATGGGCTATGCAGGGAAATTGTCATATGCAGAAACAACCAAAAGGCCCATTAGAATTAGGAGGACTCTTTAGATAACTTGTAACATATTTCCGAGTCATAAGGGTCCAAAGTCCATACCTAAATCCAACCAAGGGTTTGGCTTAATTTAGTGTTATAGTAAGCCAAACAAACTATTTGAAGCATAGAAGTAGCTGTTTGTTTGTTTGTTTGTTTGTTTGTTTGTTTGTTTGTTTGTTTGTTTGTTTGTTTGTTTGTTTGTTTGTTTGGGGGATTTTAAAGCGTAAAAGTAGAATTCCATCCGAACATTCAGACAACAGCCCTCAAATGTCTCCATCGACGTTCAGTGAACTTGTGCAGACAACGTTCAGCCAATGTCAAAATGAAACCTCATAAAACGTTCCGTGAACATCTAGCTAACATCCAGCTAATGTTCGCCGAACTTCCATAGACAATATTTGCTGAACGTGTAATGGAGTTTCATTTTGACGTTTTGCAAACGTTGTCTGGAATTTTTATTTATTTTTTTAATATCCTGTCTTATGAGTCTTCCTAATTTTTTTGGTACTTGCTTGGTGTGCAAATATTCTGAGGAAATCAGTTCAACATGAAGTAGGCTAAAAGATCTCAAAATGAAGTTCTTCTTCCTCTAATCAAAAGAAATTCAAAACAGACATAAAAAAAAGTAATTGGCATCCATCAGTCATTTTGAAGATTGTGAAATTCCGGCAAAAAAAGTGAGAGTGATCAGCCACAAATGGAGTACGTGTGGATAACTTGCATGACTGGCCTACCAACATTACTCCAAGAGTGCTTCAAAAAGTCATCCGGAGTAACCTGGAACATCTAGATCACTACAGGTCAATGTTAATCATATCAACAGTGATATTAGTGGGAGAGCTCCAAGATAAAAGCCACTGCTGATGAAAAAGAGCACAAAGGTCCAGGTCTGGGAAAACGTTTTGTGGATTGATGAGATGAAATAGAAACATCTGGGAAGGTTTATTTCCTGCAACATCTTCTAAAACTAACTCAGAATTTAAGAAAAAAAATCATACCATTATGACCTTGACTAATGGTGATGACTAATGCCATTACCCAAACAAGTGATGGTTAGGGGCACCAGGACAATTTGTTAAAAATGATGGAACCATGAATTCTGCTCTCCAGCAGAATATGATGTAATATCTGGAAATAAATTCATGGCCTTAAATTAAAGCTCATTTGGGTTAATTAGCAGGATGGTGATCCAAAGCACACTTGAAGGTTTTGAAGTGGCCTTGTCAAAGTCTGGTCTTAAATATGATTTCTTTTGGCAATGTGGATGAGATGAACGCAATTCTGCAAAGCAGAGTGTCAGGTAGGAAATACTTTCTTAGTATTATAAAATGGTTAGTCCTGAAGACCAGGGAAATATTTACAAAAGGATCAGGCAACCTATTTATTTAACAAAGGAATGAATTAATTCATTCTGGTTGTGACTTATTTTGCTATAAAGTCCCATCACATGTTTTCCAGCCATCCCATGCATGTGTCCTGGAGCAGGAATGTGCGCTCCCTGCTGGATGGATTAAATTCCCTTTGATTGTCCTCAATGAGCAAACCACGAGCACGCTCAGGTCTCAGATGCTCCGTTTGCCCTCTCACTCTGAACCGTAGGCTGCTCTTTCAGGAGGATGACATGAGTTGTATTAGAAAATGACTAGACAGCTTTCATAGAAAAAGTTTTCTATGGAGTTTTCTATAATCTTGCTACAGAGAACATCTACAGAAATCCTCTGTATTGGCCCTCTGCATTTTTTTTCTCTGAATCAGAATTTGCAGAAGTTAAATAGAACCACTCATGAAGTCAGAACTCACAGTTGAAAAGTTAAAGTTCCCCAACCCACCCCAAGCTCAAATTCAGTATAGCTGCAATGCAATTTAAAGCATAGAGACAGCTGCAGGAATAAATCATTGCCCTGTGTTCTGCACATCCACTTACCCACAACGTACATCACAAACAGGTTTGCTACATACACCTCATCTCTGTTCTGAGGCAGAGGATTTTCAAGATTATAGAACCTTTCATTCAAGAATAAACACTAAATATTCTCCAAAGTACATTTAAACTACAGAGATAAACATGTTGAATGCAGGATTTGCACTCGACAGTTTATGTCCTAGTCATTTGTAGCAGCAACAGCTCTATACCTTTATAGAACTGTTGGCTTTAGTGTTTTGCAGCTGAGCTGCTGGGCTTTGTTGCTAAAAGTAGTTACCCTTATGTTGGGTATTAAGTAACAAAGTATAAAAGTAGACGGACCGGTACCCACAGCTATTAAACGCAAGGAGCCATATTGGATTTTGAGGACTGGGTTGGTAAGAAACCTTGACTTTCACAAACTATTTTTAACTTAAGGTTAGAAAATCTTCTAAGTAAAAATAAACACCAACTTAAATAGCATTTTCCCATTTTCCTTTTTTTGTAGCTTTCTGATATGTACACATCAAAGTCCAAGTCCTGTTCCACTACTGTTTGTCAGCATGTTGGTATTTGGAAACATGATTCTTTTTCTCAGTTGATGAGGTGGTAGCTAACTTTTTATTGAAATATTTGAGAATTCCAGGGCACAGATGATTCTGCAGCCTTTCCATAGAGTTGTAGCTCTGTCTAACGAGCGCAGGTGTTTGAGCTTAAAAACAAAGCCCTCTGTCATGTTACACATTCCCTGTACAGCTCGAGGACAGCCTCTCTTTGTTAAAACTTAGAGAGAAAACCACAGACTGAGAATAATAAGGCAATGAACGAGGTGACGAGTGAGAAGCTATGTCTGCTTCAAGGCTGCCTCTGTCAATTATAAAAAAAAAACAAGCAGAGGTCAATGTCAGTAATTAGCTCTAGGTTTTCTTGTAGTGTTACTGCACTCTCTCTCTCTCTCTCACACACACACACACACGTGCTTATAGTGGAAGCTGAATAAACCCAAACCTAACAAAAAGATATACTCTCTATCCAACTCCCAGTTCACTTGATATCTCTGTTATCTTTGATAAAGAGCAAAACTTTTATGAAATAAAAAGTTGACATCAACTATATGACATTATTTTTAAACTTTGACTGCCCTTTACAGAGTCTGGTTGAGGTGAGAATAATATGCAAGAATGTACAGTTAGATATTTCTGACATGTATTCCTGTTTTAGTAACAGTCGCAAGCTCTCTTCAGGATCAAGAAACGAGAACTATCTACTGAGTCAGCAACACAGATGTGAAGCAGTCCTTAAAAACCGACTCAATGTTATTCCAGTTATTTACAATGTGGTAAAAACTTTAAACACGTTTCAGTTCACACTGTAAATAAATACAGACACTGGTGTTATTTCAAACTGCCTAATATTTCTTCACCTTCTGAAGAGAACAAACTGGATGTTCATGTTTTGAGATGACAGAAAATTTTACTTAAAAAAAACAATCACACAGTTTTGTTTTTTTTTTAAATCACAACTTAACATTGTGTAAACATTCCTCATCGTCGCTGGAATTCATTACTAACCCAATCGATTCACCCCCCCAGTTTCAAATAACTCAAACACATTTGTTTACAACTGATTATTCTATCTAAAGCCTTTTGCTCTTCCTGTTCAAGTGATATTTACTGTTGTATATTTTAATTGATTTTATGTATATTTAAGGTGTCCTTGAGAGTCGAAAAAGGCACCTACAAATAAAATAAAATTTTCATTATTGCTAAAACCTCAAAGGGAGTGAAGGAAAACCCGGCCGGACGAACTTTGCCGCAGGTGTTCCCTCGCACTCATAACCTTCTTCCCAGTTTGACCATTCTTACTGAAGCCGATAAAAAAAGACCGATGACAAATTGAAACTGAGGTACATGCTTTTTAAAGGTTAGGGCGCCTCTTAATGGTAAGACATATACATCTCTACAACCTCAAAATGTAAGAAACTCCATTAGAAAAGGGAGAAACTAGTCTATTTTGCTAGATCAAATTTATTAATCTACCCAAATACATCTCAGATGAAATATCTTATGAGCAAAAACAAAAATGTTTTATTATATTTTTAAACAGAAAACATCAAATTCAGTTTCATACAAAGCTTTTCTCATATTTGTTGAATGGAATGTTCTGATACATATGGTGAAAATAACTTTCCGATAACATATTTGATATATTTGTGAAATTTATTAAACATGAATTGGAGAAAGTCGCTCTCTGTGGTCTGTACAGTGAAGTAAATGACCACCATGAGTAATCTGCTTGTTGAAATAGATTAAATACAAATATCAAACACTGTATAGGCGATAACTAGGAAAGGACAGTTCAGTACATGAATAAGGTTGTTTATGTGATATAACACTTTGACAGGTAGACTGTAAAACTTGAAATCCAGTGATCATATAGGAGGTAGCTCCTGAGCAGCTTTTCTTTGTTAAAGGTGATGTCTGCCTGTTTCCAGTCGCAGCATCAGACTAAGATTGTGACATCATCACACGCAGCTACTGTATTTCCGCACTTCTTCCTGAATTTGGTCTCTCACATCAGTGGCGTTTTGCTTCAGGTCCTCCAGCTCCTCACGCTGCTTCTTCATCCGCTCCTCGTTGTTTTTCAATAATTCCCCAAATTAAGAAAAAAAAAAAAAAAAAAACACAAACACTGGCATTTAACAAGCTGGACAGCAGGACACACATATGGTCATCTGCAGAAAGGCATGGAAAAATAATTGATGAATACAAAAAGAACACAATGAGCAGCTGGAGCTTCAATGCTTGAACAATTCAAAGTAAATAATATTGGGTAGATTCCAGTTTCAATGCCTTGTTTCCATTGAGAGATACAGCACAGGCTGGTGCAGTTCAGTATGCAGTTTTATGGTCCGAGGTATTCGAGAGAGTACTAAACCATCAGCTGGACTGTCACTGAGCAGTTGGGCCACACAAGCAAACGCTTACTGGTATTATAAAAATGCAACAACAAAAGTGGTGAATGTTTGTCACAAGCAGTGATGTTTTCCTGTCAACCAATCAATGGGTTGTGTTGTGCGATGTCAGAAGCTTCGCCCCAACAGTGCAGCACCATTGTCCAGTAATGGTGAGGTACGGTTGGTTGTATGAGCAGCTTTGACAATAGAAAGACAAAATAGTCTACCAAACCACAAAAATCTGTGCAGTACCCACCCACTTGGTGGAAACAACAGACAAGAGTACAATGAATTATTTACAGACATGGAACAGAGTAGAACCTTCCAAAATTACTTCAAGAGCATTGCCGACTCTCAGCTACTCATAAACCCAGAACAACAGTATCTCAGGCCTTACTTACCTACAGATCAATGTTCATGAGACATTTATAAGAAACAGTAGCAAAAGTCAAACACGGCAGTAGTAGTGACGCCTCCTCTGTCGGGACCTAGACATTTCTTCCTAACTAACGGAAAGACTAACTCTGTTTTCTTTCAGAAAATCCTGAAGGATAAACTCCATCCGTCAGTTCTAGACCTTAAGCCAAAGCACAATTTAATGATGATCCGAAGAACATCAACAGGTATCATGTCTAAACAGATCATTAAAAGAAAAATTGGCCAAGTCAAAGTCCAGTCAAATCTGATTGACAAGCAGTAACTCGACAGTTCAGGTAGCTAAACTTCCCATGGTGGCTGAGCTAGAACAATTCAACAGTAGAAAGAAAAAATAAAGACTCATTGCCAGTTGTCTCAAACCTTTTATGACAAAGTGTTCCCACCAATGTCGGCACAAACAGTTTTTAGGTTTAGGGCACACTTACTTTTCCACATGAGGCCAGATTGACTTGAATAGTTTTCTCTCTAATAAATCAAATTAAAGTTTGTAAATCATATTTTGTACTTACATCAATTTTGCCTGCTATAAAATGTTGTTTGACCAAAAACATTGAAGTGTGAAAAATCTAAAATAGAAGAACTCTGTACGGGGTACATACTTTTCACAGCACTACCAGGAGCATATTAAAAGACAGCTCAGCAATTTGGACCACCATTTAGGAATAACAATTCTAAACATATTTATTTTGACATATTGGGGAATTTATTTTGACATATTGGGGAATTTTATCATGCGTGCAAGACAGAACAAAAAGTGTCAGAGAACCTGTAGTAATCTTTATAAGCACAAATCTGCAAATAAAGATGATTTCCAAATTTTCTGTACACCAATTTAAAGGACAGTTGCCAAGTTCTAGATACTCACTGTCAAGATCATTTATCCCATTATTGGCTTTACTGAGGAGATCTTCTGCATCCTTCGTCATATCTTTGACCTTCTGTTGGATGTTGTTCAGAGTTCCAGAGCTGCCAAGAGACTCCATCTTCAACTGCAGCTCACGGTAACGTTTCTCTGTTACATTTAGCTTCTGGCAGAGCACAGACAATATTAGTTCAATGTGAAGATGAAAACTTTATTCTGATTAAACAACACACCCTATGTGTTTCTCTTTGTGTGTGGACAATATTACAGAATTTTATGTTGCTTTTTAGAGCAACCTATTCATTTAAAAACCTTATCTTTTTTGTGAAGATTATGTGCTGAAATATCAGCTTTTTTTAAGACCATGCTATGAAAAAAACATCTTTGCAACTTTGGCAGCAACTTTTTGAAAAAGGTTCCAAAAAACTAGTAATTTTAGCAACAGTCACAAAAAACATTGCAACATTCTGGAGGGACAGATGTTTTCACATTTATGATATAATCACGACATTAACGTTTATTTACTCTTTGAACTGGACCTATACTTGACTCCCTATTTACTTACCTGGACCAGTGTGGACGCCTGGTGAGTGGCGTTGTTGGCCAAGTTTATGGCGTCCTTTGCCATTAGTCTGTTCATCTCCGTCTTGTTCTTTAAGGCTTCCACCCCCTTGGACAGGTTGGTTAGAAGCATCATGATGTCCATCTGCTTGTCCTCAAGCTGCACCAACCCCTTTTCCACCTGCAATGCCAATTGTCACAATGGAGAAGAGAAATGAATATGGATATGATGAGACATGTTAAAACTCTTTACAGAGCGGTGGGTAAAAGAGCCTGCACAGATCAGTCCTGCTGTACCTCAGCAGTGGAGTTCTTGGTGCTGTTCAGGTTGTGCCGGGCCTCCTTCAGGGCTGCCTTTGCTTTCTCTATGGCCACCTCAGAGACATTCAAAGCCTGTTTGGTACTGTTGACGAGATCCCTCACACCTACTGCTTGTCTCCTGGAATGACAGAAAAACTGCTTGAAATCAAACTATTAAAAACCTTAAGCCGCATTTTGGGCCACACCCAGATTATGAATGTTCTAAAAACCCATTAGCAAACTGATAAAATATCAATAAAAAGTTGTCTCGGCATTCTATAAGTTTTCTTAAAATTAAATAGTACTGAGCATATTTTCACACTGATCAGTCCCCAAAATTATATCTTGATTGTTTCTGTGTTTTTTTTTTTTTAAATTAAAATGACAGATCTTGTGGTGGTAACTTAAAAACATTTGCAAGGAATTTGCAATATTTGTGCTTATGTATGACAGAAAGTGTGACTTTCTGCTACTCTCCATGGTGATCACAGACTATAACTTGACATCAAAGAAGCCTGAGGAAGCAGTGTAGCCAAAGTAAGAAATACTGCCACCTGCACTTGAACCCATTTTGATTTTTTTTTTACTATTTTGGGGAAAAATTTGCAATAAACTAACAATTATGCATTAGTACAAAAAATGTGGAGATCTGTTAGCATTGAATGAATTGTCACAGAAAAACTGAAGGGGATGACTGATGTAATTTGGCAGCATACAGGTAAAAAAACTGCTTTGATTTGATTCACAAAATATTATTTGAACACACAACTGCTATCTTCAACAGTCTCTTTGTGTCCCTCTGGAGTCTAGAGGCCAGATTTGGCCCCTAGTCCTTGAGTTTGATGCATATGGTATAAAGGAACAAATCATAGATGCCATTCAGGAAAGCTGACATGGCTAAAGCAGAAGTCATGTCCCAGATGACAAAGGAGTGTTTCTAAATGAGGACAGTGACAGGGTCACAATGCCTATTGGAATCTTCTGGAAATGCAATACTGGAAGTACAACTCACTCTGCCTCTTTAGCTTTATTCATCAGGTCTTGAGCATTGCGGATGAACTGCGAAGTTTGATTCATAATGTCCTGAACATTGGTGAGATTGGCAATGCTGCTGTTGATCTGGTTGATCAGTTTGTCCACAGTGGTCCTGTTGAGTGGCAGGTTGATATCCAAGACCTGCTGGGCTACCTTCTGGATGCTCTCAGGATCTGCTCCCTCCTCTGCTCAGCACACCAGACAGACAGACATACCCCAAAAGAAAATACTTTGTTAATGTAACGAGCATCAGGTCAAAGATCGACCTGAAAGCATCCATCCCCATACCTGTGAGGAAGTCCTTGATGGTCTTAATGAAGTCTTTAAGGTCTTTATTGCTTTTTTCAAAGTATTCCTTCTTCTTCTGGGCTTTCTCCAGAGCATTCATCGTCCGGTTCTTCACATCCTGGGTCTGGGACGCTATGTCCTGAAGCTGGGCCCAACGAATTAATCAATCAAATACACCAGCCTGTATACCAAGAGTAGGTAGGATGGTTACTGAAAGCTTCACTACCTTCTTTGTGACGCCCTGCAGCTCCTTCATGGCAGCTTTCAGACTGTCTGTGAGGTTTGTGGCATCCTTCAGTGCAGTCAAAGAAGAACTCTTTGTCCCATTGCATCCCTCTCCTCCACAAACAAAGTTACCCTGATTGTCATGGCAACCACACTGGTTGTCAGAGCAGCTGCCATGTTGGCTGGTATTACTAGCACCACCGCATACCTTAAAAGAGAAATTAGATTTAAAAGAAGTGTGACTACAAAAATAAAACATGTCTTAATGTCAAAATTTAAAGCAATATATACCTTAATATTTGTTTAATTGGGTTAAAAACTGTATGCAAAATATTCAGCTACAGAAATACACACAATAATTCAACAACACATGGTTATCAGTTTTATTTTGATGACTCTGAGGTGGCAAAGTTTATTCTGACTTTTCTTTACCAAACTTTTGCTTTAACCAAGATGGGTATTTAGAATAAATTAAAGGTGAAACCGAATGTTTGACTATTTTTATTATTCTCTGGTTCCTTGGTTGTGTTGTCATTCATTCAATATCTTTACATAAAGTTTGAAATTACAGTTCAAAGTAGGTGTGCGATAAGGCTTTAAACATTTTGTGTTACTATTGTGATCATGGGTGAATGGATTAAATTAATTAATCCTCCATGATTTTGTTTTGTGTATCCGTTCTTAGACACATTATCTCCATTTTCAACAGGAGCAGTTCCACCTCCGGTTCAAAAGTCCTTCAAAATATTCATGTGGACAATAATAGACAAACACATCTAACGGGGAATATGAGTAAAATGAAAAAAAAAATCTATATTAAGTTTTGATGCTGAAAAAGCATTTGATTCTGTTAACTGGGTATATTTATTTCAAACATTACACCGATTTGGCTTTAATATCTCTTTCCCACTGTTTGTTAAACTATGTTCTGACCTTCTCAGAAACAACATCGGATCTCCTGGAACTAATGAATGTAACCACATGAACATTTTTTTGATAATCTTTTGTCTTAAGCTATAAACACAACCTTCTTAAATTGTAATTCAGCCTTCCAGGAAATCGGAGTATTACCAAAGAACATTTAAAATACTGTTTATGTAATGATACCAAGTTTTTTTTTTTTTTCTTTTTTTTGGGCTGTTGTACTTTTAACAGTATGGAATTGATTAAAAGTTTGTTTTTTAAATGGATTGTTTCAATTAAAGTCAAAATTGCTGAATGAGCTTCTATTTTGGGTTACTGGCAGTCAGAGCCTCGCCAGTAATGAACCTCTGCATAAGTCACTGGTGTACATATGCTCCACTTTTCAGTAGTCCCATATTTCTGTAATAAAAATCAAATGAGTCAGTTTCATGTAACACCAGATATCTGAAACTGAATTTTGGGGTTTTCTGACAGTTTGGTTATCAGCCTCCTCCTGAGAGACTGTCTGCACTGTTTACCTTTTGGCTGAGATGTTGCACCGTCTCACTGAGGTTTTGGGTCTTCTGATGCAGCTCATTTAATGAATTGTTGTGGGCGGTTAGATTCCGGAGGAGCTGACCTTTTGTGGTGTTCAGCAATTTCTCGGTAATCCCTCGGGTTTGTTTGGATTGTTCTACTGGACTGGTAGGAAACAACACTGAGGCGTTGCACCTCTCCTCAGCCTGCTGTGACACTTGGTAGTACTTCTTCACTTTGTCAAACTGATCTGGTGGAAAACAGGAGCAAAGATATGCCAGCTATGAGCAATATCAACTTGAGAATGATTTATTTCTAAAACATTTAGGTAATTTTGAATAAGAAAAGCGTATCTTAAACTGATGAAATTTCTTACATTTCTTACATTGAAAACTTGAAAAACTCCACATTTAACCTCAATGCAGTGGGGTAAATGTTTCATGTTAGGAAACAAATGCTAACAAAATTGCCAGTCACATATGGAGGAATGATACTGCCAAAATTGGGAATAACTATAGAAGTAAATAAATGGCTTGATAAAATAGTTAATGTGCCAAATATTGTATAAAAAAAAATAAATAAATAAAAAAATCCCAAACTTCTTTGATTACACATTGTGACATAAATTAATATTTGTTTAGCAGTTTCAATGTTATCATTTTAACATTTACGTTCCAATTTTATTGTTTTATTAATTGGTTTCCTTTCTTTTTTTTCTTTAAAAAGTATTTTATATTTATAAATATAAAAAATATAATAAACAGTATAAATAGTAGTTTTACTTATTTATACTGATCACTTTTTCTATAAACTTGTATTTCTGTTTCCCCACACAATCAGTATGAAATGAGTCCATTGTCTACAAATCACCTCAAAATGGGAAAGACAAGAAAACATGTGGCTATGCAAGTCACAATAACTTTTGTTGGATGAGAAATGGTCCCAGTAATTATCATGATAAATGATTATTTTATGACCAAGTGTTTCTTTGACAATGGCATGAAACACCAATACAGTTTAATTTAATAAAGAACTCTTAACACTGGAACTGGAAGATAATTTAAATATGCAAAATAAAACACCACTAAAGGCAGTAAATAAAATGGAAATAAAAGCCACATATAACTAAAACCATAAATAAAATGGATAATATCTTTTTAAACAAAACAGATATTATTTAAATTGATTGTTAATTGATTAATTGCTTGTTGCAAAAGGCTTACATGTGGTTCATTAAAGCAAACACGTGCTACTGATCATTCAGGAAGCAGCTACCAGAAAATATTATTCCATATGTACACTCAGCCTGTTGCAAAGACCCATTCAGTTTTGGGTTTTGCTACCAAACTCAATGAGCAGGATGGTAATCTAGCTGAATAAATCTCTAAAGCTCTCTTTGCTCTTAGCATTTTAGATGCATCAAGTCTCCATAGCAACCAGTAGACCCCATTAGCCTGTTAACTGCGTGTTAAAGAGGAGTAGCAGGAGAAGCTTTTCACATCCCAACCATCAAACATAAATGATATGAATTACAAACCAACTGGGGTTGGTGTGAAACAAAGGAAGAATATGAGGAGAAGTGCTTCATTTTCACTGTAAAGTATGCTATAAAACTGAAAGTGTTTTATGGCAATATTTTAGGGACTACTACACACGACTACCAGGGGGTTGCCATCATTACACTTCATGCCATAATGATGGCATGAAGTGTAATGTTTCTTTTAAGATTTGCCGGTTGATACCTAAAAATCCTGAGGTGAGGTACTTGTCCAGCAGCTCCTGTTTGAGAGCCAGCGTAGCATTGACGTCCATCAGCACTTTCTCCAGGTCAGTCAGAGTGCGTCTCAAGACCTCATCCGCCTCTTTAGTTTTGTTTGTGTCTTGGTCAATTCCCGTCAGACGTGAGTTAATGAGAACGATCTCAGGTCTGAAACACATTTTTGGCATTTAGAGAACTGCAGGTGAGTGAGAGTCAGTAGATAAGTAGCTTTAGTTGCCCACCTGAGGTCATCAATGCTCTGTCCAATCAGCTGGTGGATCCGTTCCGTGTCCCCCGTATCAATCAGGTCTCGCACCTGGTTCAGCTTCTGCTCAAGCTCCGTGATGCGGTTCATCCCGTCTCCGGGCGTGATCCCGCTCTCCAGGATCTTCTGGACGGCATACTGGATGTGTTCCAAGTCTCTTCTGATCTGGCACAAGTGATCATCTGCTTGATAGAAGCACTGATGACAGGGGACACAGTTGGGGAAGACGCCCGTGAAGCCGCGCGCGCACTCATCGCACCGGACCCCCGCCATCCCATCCTTGCACTCACACTGCCCCGTCACTCGGTTACACTGGCGTGTCTGTGAGCCCAGCGGGTGACAGCCGCACTCTGGAAGGAAGCAGAAAGAAATATGATGGTAATGAAAGCATTTTAAGCTCATCAGCGGCGCACCGATTGCTGTTCCCTCAGCCAATTCCAATGAAAATTTTCAGGGTGAAAACTTGACGTTTCAAATATTTTTTCAAAGAGCATGCACCAAATTGCTTCAATTTCTACAAAAGAAATTGGAAAGGCAGCATTATTTAATTTCCAGGAGTAACATAGAGAATATAAATTCTCTATGGTGCGGGTCCTGATTGATGCAGGGGACACAGAACAGATCCACCAGCTGATTGGACAGAGGCTCGATGACCTCAGACGGGCAACTGAAGCTACTTATCTACTGACTCTCACTCATCCGCAGTTCTTTGCAGTACATTTTTAATTGAAATGCAGTTCATATTACCTCAAGTTGTTATAAAAATGCCATATATGCCAAACATGACTTAAAAGAAATTTGACTTTGCAATTCAAAGGCTTGTAATTGGACTTCTATCTCTTTAAGAAGCTCCTGTTCTTTCCAACACCTCGCCTTCATCACGTCGTCACAGGAACGTTTCCCCATTAAGCATTTGTCAAAGCTCTGGGTTGAGCAGTAGCTCACATGACGAGCTCTGCAGATGCAGGTGTCTCCTTCTGTTTTCTGACTTACCTCTACACTCCACCTGTGGGTCGCCCCAGTGGTGCTCTCGGCACTCAGTGCACCGTTGTCCTCCGAAGCCGGGCCGACACGGACACTGGCCTGTGAACTGCAGAGGTAATGGAAACATGCATGTCTTCGTGAGGTTTTTCAAACATTGCAATTTTTTTTTTTTTTTTTTTTTTTAGATGCTTTTGCTCTTCCTCACCATGTTGCACCAATCACCCTCAGAATGTCGCTGGTCACAGCTGCAAGGCTGGCAGCCTTCTGGCTGACCGTAATTCCAGTGGTTGGGGGCACACTGGTCACAGTTGTTGCCCATCACAGACGCCCTACAAGGGCAGGCCCCGGTGTAGTGGTCACAGAGACACTGTCCCTCACTGCATGCTGACACCACAGTGCCAGCAGTCACACAGGTGCACCCTGGGTAAAGGCAATGGATAGATAAGGAGAAGATCTTGGAGTCTAGTATTTTCCACAGATGCAGGCTGTTTTTATGAGCAAGCAGAAATTTAATTAACTTGAAAATACATTTTTAGGAGATCACAACCGGGTGTGTGTGTGCGTGTGCGAGAGAGTTTCTTTTTTTTCCCATTTATGCCAACATGAATCTTCTGACTGGATGATATTTTGGAAATGTGAAAGTTTCAGAAAGATTCAGCAATCTGGCTACATGAGCTAAAGGTTTACGTGGCCAGTGATCTCGGCAGTTTTCCTTGGATGATGAGAAGGGGCCAAGTATTCAATTACATTCAAAAATATTTTATCGATCCCACAGGAAAATTAAATTTTCTGTGACGTTTACGATTGCATATTTAGAGTTCATCACAAAAATTTATTTTTAAAATACCAATGGAAAGATGCAAAAAACCTGGATAGCAGTAATAAGAAGTCCCTGACTGTTGATCACCATATCGAAGCTGGTATCTAGCTCAATATTTTTTATATGCTAACATTCTTCTCGCTAAGTTATGCCTCTGTTGGAGGAGTGGATGTGTGTTTGCTTCCATCTACCAGGTCTAAGCAGATCGTTCAGGATTGTGGTGGTAAGTGCTTTGTTTAAACTATATGTGGCGCAGGAAACTGAACTCTGACTATAGCCTTCTGATTGGCTGACAACTCCTTTGTCGACAGACCCACCACCTACACATAAAAAGTCTTATGCATCCAGGAGTCTCTATATCTATACAGATTGCTTATGTGTTTTAAAATTAAAATGAAATTCACCTCTGGCCATTTGCTTTAAAACCAGAGACAGACTTAGCTTCCTTTAAACCATGGTAACAAATCTTAAGATTGCAGTATGTAACTTTTACAAAAAATTTGTTCTTATATATTTGTTAAAACTGTCATTTTATTGTATTAGCATAGTACGAGATATCTGTGAAAAAAGAAAGTGCTCCTCTGCTTTCTCTCAGTTCTCCCAATACTAACTGCAGACAAACACCGCTGAGCCAGAAATAACCAATCAGAGCCAGGAGAGGGTCTTGGCGCTGTCAATCAAGCTTGTGATCGAGAGTGGTGCATTTGTGCAGATTGCAATAGCAGCACTGGGAGGAGGAGACAGATATATTAAAAAAATTATCTGTCTCATAGCATCACAAAATTAGCGACATATTTGAGCAAATATGTAAAAAAAAAAAAGCTTTTCTAAAAATTACATGCTACTTTAAAGAAACAGCATCAATTTTATCATTATCATATCTCATCACTCACGTCTGCAGTCCCTGATCAAGGCGTTGCCGAAGTATCCTTCCTCACACCGGGAACAGGACGGCCCGTCCGTGTGGTACAGGCACCTGAGGCACTGCCCAGTCCTGGGGTCACATGACCCCGGATCCTGGGGGTCGATGTTATCATTGCATTCACAGCGAAGACACTGTCCACCGGGCTGCTCTGGGTTGCCGTAGTAACCTGGAGCACACTGATCGCAGCGAGGACCTTGGATGGGAATAGATGGTCATGGTGGGGTGGTTAATATTTAGTAAAGCAACATTAAATGTTTTTTATGCGTTTCTATGATATGCAAAGATAACAGCCAGGCTACCGGGGATATTTCTGCCATGTTGAAATCATTTTTAACATCAATTCTTTTAACTGCGGACTACAGCAGGGACGATACAAACAGCTGATAATGCCACAAAATTCAAATTCATAAAACCTAAAGATTTTATTTGCATATCTCAAAAAGAATGTTTTGTCACTTCAAAACCAAAACCCTCAATGTATTTTATTAGTGTTTAATGTAACAAATCAACACAAAGCAGAGCAGAAATGTGAAATGGAAGGAAAATGATACTGGTTTAATTGCAACTATCAGACCCACAACACACAGGATCCGACTTGGAAATCGATCCAAAGGAAATTAAGTCAGTTGATGTACTCAGCAATTCAAACAGATTAAATCAAGTGGTTAGCGGGGCCTCAGACCGCTAGTCACTCCCTGCGACTGTAGTTTGTTTTAAGCTACGCTGCAATTTGATGGTAATATCATGAGTGAGACAGGAAGTGAAACAGAATGGCAAAGTAAAACACATCCGCTTTGGTGAGAATACAAACTGAAGTCATTCACTTGCAAAAAACGGATCATTTTTCGCGAGGGTTGCGTTCCGAAAAGAACCCGTGATAAATGAAATCTGTGAAGTAGTTACCTTTATTTTTTGCAATTATTATACAGCATAATGAAATACTCTACATTGAAACCAAAAGAACAAAACCTGTTTTCAGGTCAGCGGATGTGCGTGTTCATCAATCGGGCCTTAATGTGATCCGGAGTCATGTCATGTCATTAAAGCGTCTCCTCCAAGCTGTTTTGCGAGATTCACAGCTTTATCTACAGCAGACTGATGGATTTCGTCAACCGAGCCTCCGGTCGGGCTTTACACTGTCTCTGGCTACAGTTTTTTCCAGCAGACATTCAAAGTTTCAGTTTCCGTCTCCTGAATGGCCAAGCTGTGTTGCGCATAGTTAAATGCATTATTAAATAACGTTATTGGCACACAGGTAGAGAAGAAGCGCAGAGACCGTTTAGCCAATCAGGACGCAGAACACAATGCACTGTGAAAAAAAACTGCACAAAAAAATCCGCGAAGTAGCGAGACCCCGAAAGGTGAACCAGGTTATAGCGAGGGATCACTGTACTTATAAAAACAATGAAAGAGAGAAACAGCAGGATCATGATAACATTCCAGCTCACCTGTATAGCCTGGTTTGCAGTTACATATGATCTGATCGGAGGTGTGGTCAGTTTGACAAGAATGGCCGTTAAAGTGGTTGGAACCAGGGTTTCCAGGGCAGGGGCAGGGGTGACAGTGATCCCCCGATCCGAGCACTGGGTTGCCATAGAAACCTTCCACACAGCTGTGGAGAACGAAGAGAGATATTTATGCATCTGGAAACAGACCTGCAGTAAAGCAACAAAAGGCAATGTGGAAGATCCCCCCCCCCCCACACCGTTCACAGAGGTGTCCCGCTGTGTTGTCCCTGCAGCCTCTGCACTCTCCTGTCCGGGGGTCACAGAGGTCGGCGTGGCCATTACACTGACAAGGGCTGCAGCTGGGGAAGCCCCACTGGCCCGGTTGGCAGTCGGAGCACTGGCGCCCGGTGGCTCCCTGCCTGCACGGACACTGACCTGTAACCGGGTCACATTGGTGGCTGAAGGAGCCCTCTGGGTGGCAGTCACAGGCTGAAAAAGAGAGAGCAGAGGTCAGTTATGCCTCTTGTCACTTTAAATCCTGCTGCTGCTGCTGCTGGCCACGCCCCCAACTTAACAGTTACACTTGTACCTGAAAATGGCTGCAAACCGATGCGCAATAATACACTGTACACCTCCTGCACAACCACTGCACAATGCAACAATGGTTTCTAGATGGCAAGTCAACAACAAAACACTAGTCTGTTCCAGCAGCCATTGTGCAGTGGATACTGTGGTACAGTATACTTTAACCAGCTGCTGACCAAACGTGATGGAGCTCTTTGGATGGCTAGGTGACGGGCAGAGCTTTTTGAACTGCCTTAAAGGTCACACACCAAAAAAACATTAATATTGCAAAAAACTAGCTGGGTGTTTTTTTTTTTTTAAGTGCTTTAGCTGTTTTTAGTGGTAAAGACCGAAGTGGAAACACAAAATTGCGGATTTTGCACAATACATCTCATTTAATGTCTTCCTGTTAACCTTCAGTATTTCTGCTTTGAACTGAACAAACTGTTTCAACAACAGTGATGACATTCTTTTCCAAGAAGTAAAGAGGGGTTACTAAGAGGTTTTATTTTCAAAACTACGTCTCTGTTGGTTTCAGAATGAGGGACAAAAATTCAAATTTCTCTTATCCACTTGTGTACTAGTTACTCAAGTGGTTTATTGTATCCAGTTTAATATATTGAAGAGGATACCAAGGCCTTTCCCTCAGACTAAATAGCACTCTGCTTATAGAGAAAATTATAGGAAAAATTACATGATTGCTCATGCCAAAGTGCCTCCCTTTCAAAATGTTCCAGAGGATTAGCGATAAAAGCCTTCTCTACTAAAATATTATAAATAATTATGTCTAATCATCAACCACAACTGAAGACAGTCCTCAGGCTCCAAGAACAGACTCACCATTGCAGCCGTTCACTCCGAAGCCGTAGGTTCCTGGGGCGCACTGGTCACACTGCCGCCCAATGACGTTAGCTTTACAGCGGCACTGACCTCCGACCTTATCGCACTCGCCGCTGATGGAACCCTGAGGGTCGCACTGACAGGCTGCATGCAACAGACAAATACATTCATGTTCTGCTTTGGATCTGCATCTGCTCAGTCTACGTCTGGTTAGTGTGTCTGCTTACCCAGGGCCCCATCGTGAATGTTGGCTGAGATGCCGCAGATGAGTTTGGAGCACATCTCAGCCAGAGCTGGCATCGGCGTGATCATAAAGGAATCCAGGCACATGTAGCGGATCATGTCCTCCCGGTGCTGCTCTGTGTCCGGGTCGCTGCCATGGAAACCAGGAAGCTCGGTGTACTTGGGGATCAATACCAGCTAAATGAGTAAATGAAAACAGCAGAGTTTACAGAATTACAAGGATTCTGGGAATAAAAAGATGATTCAACAATCTAACCATCAGCAGCAAATTCAAGCTTTTTTTCTCTTAAATATTAAGTTGGACAAAGCGTTTTTGAATTATCTTAAGAAAAAGAATTTCTTGTGATACAGCACACTTTTTTATACCTAAGTATGCAAAAATGCATAACTTAATTGAAATAAACTTTTAAAGAAAAGAGATTCATGATAACAGACATCACAAAATAAATTGTGATGTCAAGGAAACATCCTGACTAAAAATGGTAACCCAAACTCACTTTTTAAGAAATGATTACTGAAAGTGAAAACTTAAAATTCCAAATCACCTTAAAGTCAGAATTTGCATCTTTCTACCACTAGGGGGAGATCAGTATGCATGTGTCAGCGTACTGAGACATGCATCCTGCACCTGGTGCCCTTGCTCCCGCTATCAGTCACACAAAGTTCACTCAACAAAAACTTCTTTATAGCAATATCGACCAAATTCAATAAAAAAAAAAATAAAAATCTGTATTTAGAGCACCAATAAACCAGTTTAAAGGCCGCATGCCTGCCTGTGAACAATGAGGAGAGCTGGTTTATGGTTTCTTACTTACTGAGTCAATCAGGATGAAAGCGGTAAGGTGTCTGTAAGCGACTCCGTGTCGCTGGAACCTGATTGCTACCACGTAGCGATTACTGGGCTCAAAACAAAATGGCCTGGACATCAGGATGTATCTGGAAGAATACATTACAGTCAGTACTCAGGTAGTTATTAACACTGCAATAGAGTCTGAGCTTGAATAGAAACTGATTTACAAGCCATCATTTGTTAATATTTATTTAATTAGGAACGTGAATAATAAAAAGAAATACATTAAACAACCATATACATGAGTTTCTGTCTGCACACCTTCTCTTTACAGTCAATGCTGGGGGGCGGGGCAAATGCAAAGTAATGTAAATGAACAGCTTCTGTTAACACCCAAAGTTACTGATCAGATTTCATGAGAATTTTTTTGAAACTTTGAAGTCTGTTTTCTCACTGGTCTTGTTTGCAGGAATACTGAAATTACCATATCTTCATTTTATTATTTTCATGTGTTTGACATAATTAAAAAACTTAGAATCCAGACTTTCAAAATATGTAAATAACTCCAAATCCCCCAGTGAGACTTGCTTGCTGTATTTTGTTGTGGCCTGTCACACATTCATATAACCAATAGGAGAAAATCATTAGGTGCACATAGAAAGCATATTATAATCTTGAAACTTGTATTTCAGGAAGAAAAACATGCAGTGAAAATGTGCACAAAATGTCCCAAGAGGCCTGCAGTACCTGTGGAGGAGCTGCAAAGAGCCACAGTTTAGGAGGGAGAATCTGTCCACAGCACAATAGTCAGTTTTGTACTTAACAAATCTGGGATTTATGGAAGCGTGTCAAGAGAAAATGTATAAGAAATTCAACTTGCAGATAGCCGCATGTAGAAAACACAAAAAACACATGGGAGATCAGACTATTTTTTTGTCTGAATGCAAGTCTTTCAGGTTCATTTGGCTTGCTAACTAAATAATTTGTTTGGAGCTAAAAGTTTGGCTGGTAAACTAAATATTTGGTTTGTTAACTAAATATCTGGCTTGCTAGCAAAAGATCTAGCTTAAAGCTAAATAATTAGTTGGTCATCCTAAACCTCCCCTTAGTTTGTAAACTAAATATTTATAAATATTTAACTGGATATTTGACTAGCTAATTAAATAACTGCTCACTAAATATCTAGTTGGTGGTGAGCTTTTTGAAGAGTTTTAGACATAACAATTTAACATAAAACCAAATTTAAAAAACACAAAGAAAAGTTTTAGTGTTCATGCAAATATTTATCATGACCTGCAAGCAAAACATGAATTAGCTCAGCCATTTAACACACAAAGAAGAACCACTGGGAGTTGCACTTTTTGTTGGTTTTGGCCCTGTATCTCAACATAAAACACCAAACAGAATCAGGCTCCTATAGAACCCAGGCAAACTCAATGAACCTTGCCCAGAGTTGAAAGGTTGCCTATAAATTAAAACCTGTCAGTCAGATTACACCTTCATCTGTTTGTTCTGCAATTTTTCCACAACCTGCACCACAGCAGTCTTCCTGTATCTGATTCTTACAAATACTCTGCAGTTTGTTTGCCCACCTGCATCTCACAGCGCGTACAAGCCTGGGCAGATTTAAGTGACAACAGTGATGCAATTTTTTCCCCCCTCCTTGCTGTTTCAACAAACATCCAGACGCTCCTCTCTCAGACGTACACACACTCAGAGACATTCTGGTCTGCACGCAAACAACCATGATGTACCTGTTGCGGTGCAGCAGGGTTTCAGTGTAGAGCTGTTCGGCCGGAAGAAGGTTTCCACACCGGAGACTTGAGGGCAGCTCAACAGAGGTGATGCTGACTACAGCCTCCCAGTCCTCTGTGGACTGCATCAGGACACAGTGAGACGACACGTTCACTGGAAATGCAGCTGTCACAAGCTGCCTTTCCGTTAACCATAAAATTGCGCAAATTGAAAATACAAAAATAAATTTGCTTAATGGACACGAGTCATGTGATCAACAGCCAGATGTTACTACTGTCAGAAACGACAAATACAACAGGAAGTAGGTCTATGGCTGACAGATAAGCATTAGTGCCGTTGCTGAATTATAAATATATCTCATGTGACAGTTAACATCAGTCACTGCCATGATTTTTAATGACTTGATGAGTGAACAAACTTATTCACACATTTTTTTAATGTCATGGAAACAATTGGAAATTCGACATTAGCAGAAAATAGACAAAAATTTTGCACATTTGTAATGGAAACGCAGCTACTGTCTACACCTAAACACACCTCAGGCTCGTAGCGAATCATGACTTCGTACTCCATGGCGTAGGGGATGTTGTCGATGGTGAACACCAAGCCGGCGCCATCTTTGACGCGAGCAAAACCGGGACCGGTCCAGGTGGTGATGTGGCTGGGAGCGTGCTCTCTGTGGACCGTCGTGACATCCGGCTGAGTGAGAAGAAGATGTGTCACCCACACAGGAAGCTATAACTCACTTTGTTATCCCAAAGTGGTATTATTTCTCTTCCAATAGATAATTATGTACTCATTTGTGTTTATCTACTGAGCAAAACCTTCAATAAAGGTTTAACAGTGAGTCAGAATCCTACTGTCTGCTGAAGCTGCCGGATGCGTCTCAGCGCTGCCTGAGACTGCTGCAGGCTTGAAATGCGCCGGTGTCGCCGATGCCTCCTCGCCTGGTTGCTGAGCTGCTGAATGCAGTCATCTGCTGCCTGCGGACGGACCTGGCCCTGAGGACGAGATGAAAAAAATAAGCGCCATGTGGGAGATTTGAGCTCAAACTTGTTTTTATTTATTGAAGCTGAAGTTTCACAGCTTTTACTAAAGATGTTAGTGAAAACTGAGGAGAAAAGTTGTTGCTGTGTTGTCAAATATTTAGCTGATCTATTCATTTTGAAGATTATATATACACATCTGTCCATCAAATGATTCCTATTCAATTCTACCTTTGTTCTTCTGATACCATACTGCTCAGGTCTCGTAAGTAAGACGTTGTAATTTATCGACTTTATTATGTCATTGAATATTTCAATTGTAAGCTATTTTTGTTCCAATGAAGCAACGGATAAATTTGGTTTAAATCCATATTGAGCTAAAGTGAGTATTTTATTTTATGTAAAGAAAAAAAATACAAAGTCTGTCATTAGTTTTTATAGAATTTTTGAAAATTGCAGGAGTAATGAGACGGGTGTAATAATTGTGGAGAGGTGTTTGTTCCCACACTTATGCAATGGAACGACTTTGGTCATTTTCTTTTTCTCTTTTTTAAACAGTACCCACTGGGAATGATAAATTGCAAATGAACATCAGTGGTTTAGTAATTCCAAAGATTACTCTTTTTACAATAGTCATGTCAATATCCTCACAGTCGGTTGAAGTTTTGTTTTAACACACTGAAACAATTGGGAGAATTTCTTTCTCTCCGCTGCTGCTAGAAATAATGTTGATAAATGTAAGAGAGCTAAAAAAAAAAAGAGCATTTAGTCTGATTTAATGTCAGGCAGGTAACGGATTTTGTTTTAATTAATATATAGTGCCAACTGTATCTGCTGCATGTTTCTAAATCTTTACTGAACGTGTTTATTTTCCCTCCAGGAGAAGTCTAACAAGCAGGATATGAAATTGTCACGCTTCACTTTGTGCCTCGCACTATTGCCTTTCTTCTCAGGACATTCCAAAGTCACTGAACTCAGTTCTTCTCACATTCCTGCTGCAGAGATGTTGCAACTGTGGACTGTCAGAGCTTGCTTCTAGGACTTCATGTAAGATGCTGACCAAAGAATGATAAAAAAAAAAAAAGTCAAAGGAATGTGTAAAAGCAGTTACAGAGGTGAGAAAGGATAAAGAATGTAATATGAGACTAGAATAGCTATGGGAAAGGGTGATTCTGGTCATCATTGTCTTTCAATTTAACTTTAGTACCCAAACAGATGGACAGACAAATCAGCTGGTGACCTGGTCATCAGATCGGAGTTTTTTTCTCACAAAGAAAACCTTTTAGTATCCCAGTCACTGTCTCCACAGTGCAAGGACTGTGGTGATGCTGCTGAGCTCACCGGCAGTGAGGGGTCGGTGGGTGAGCGTCCAGCAGCTTCTTCAGCCTCGTATTTGTAGTAGTCGAGCGGAGCACAGAAATACCCAGGCTGCACCTCCGAACACTGTCGACCAATGAAATGCCTCTTGCAGTCGCACTGCCCACTATCCATCATGCATCTTATTGCAACAGGAAGAGAAAAATGTAAAAATATTCTGGTTAGCGTAAATTCTGACAACTAAACCTCTATGCACCAGGCCATGGGGTTAATGTTATAGACACATGCTTTCTAAATTCACATTCAGATGATGTTTTATCCATAAGATCAACCTGTTGTTGTACGCTCCACCGAAGTCGCACTCACAAGGTCTGCAGCCACCCAGGTCATTACTGAGACCCCAGTATTCAGGCTGCAGAGACAGAAAACACTTTAATCCATGATGCACTGGGTTACATCAGGTAATTGATTATTAGTGATGTTCCAATACCTGTTTTTTTCCAGACCGATTACAAGAACAAATACTTCAGTATTTGTACTTGCTGATTCCAAGTACCGGAACCAAGTAGCTAAAAAGTTGGTATTTATACTTTACACACAATAACTTTTGGAAACAAAGTCATTTTTATTAAGAACAGGATGTCTCTTCTTCTTTTAAAGCCCATAGTCCCTGTGATTTTAACAAATCATAAATAGACCATACATACAGATTGTTTAGTCTTCAAATGATTTATAAAATTGCTTAATTATTTTTTCCAACTGCTTAAATTCGATCTGAAATTCAAACATGGTCGAGGCAAATGATTTGCCTCGTGGTTGGGCTCATGCTTCTGTAGTTTGTGTAATAAACCTAAAATATATACACGAAGAGACCCATATGAGAATATGCAGTTTAAAATCTGTGCTGTGTTAATCTACTTACTGTAGTTTAAACAGAAAGAAAGTAAAATGCAGATGTTCCTTAGACCAACAAGCACAGTGCACTGCAGGCACACGCAACCCTGCCCTGCTTCGCTCCGATCAACCACACATCCCAGATGGTTTGCACCTGACTCACCCTGCGGTTACAACAAGTGACGAGATGGAGTTGGAAGACGCTAAACAAAAGCTAAAAATGAGAGAAGTTACACTTCTTACTAAAATTATGGACTAAAAATTAAATACAAGCTTTTCAAAATAATATGTTGGATTTACTTCAGACTCAGGCCTGTAATTAATATTAATTAGTCGGGTCAGATCAGGCCTGGACAAATCTAAACTCTAGTTTTCGCCTCTTGTTTACTATCCTCTGTCTTTACATTGAAATTTAACTTCTCCCTTCTTCTCCTGTTTTTTTTTTTTTTTTTTTTTTTGGAGGATCAGCAAATAACTTCTTGGTGTATTACCACCACCACCTGGTATGAAGTGTGGCTTAGACTTTGAGTTGCACCACTTTCCAACCCAGGATGAAAATCCAGCAGAACAGTGGTACAAGTTTGGAGAATCGACATCAAGGTTGAGTACTAGTGATTACATCACTAGTAATTATCACTACGGTTACTAAGATATTTAGCTTTGGATACATGTCTGGAAAAGAAACCTTCTACCTCAAGTTGAAGTTGCTATTTTAAGAATGTGACATGGACAGAAGTCAGGTATGAAATGTAAAAAAATAAAACAGCCTGATTTATGACTCTTCAGATTACTAACCAGACACTGGTTGCAGTAGCGACCCGTGACGTATCTTTTACAGGAACAGTCCCCACTGATCTGATCACAAGGAGCATCCATCAGTATGATGCCCCGGGGGTCACAGTTGCAAGCTGATGGCAAAATACACAAACACACACACACTGAGCCCCAGAAAGTATTTCCATCAAGGCTGCCTGAAGTGGAGATAAACACAGACATACGTTGGCATCCCAGTGGGTCGCTCTCACTGAGTCCATAATAACCCGCCTTGCAGTCATCGCAGCGCTTTCCCTTCACGTTGTATTTGCAACGACACTGTCCTGCGATCATCCCCATTCCCAGGTCGGTGTGGCTGTCACACACACCTCCCTCCAATGATCCAACCGGGTCACAGTCGCAAGCTGGAATTGAAGTTTTCAGATTCAAGTTTATTCACAAAGGAACTAAACTTGTTCCCCACATTGAGCTAGGCCTGTCACAATAACAACTTTTGCTGGACAATAAATTGCCCGAGAAGTTATTGCAATAAATAATAATATTGTTGCTTTGAGAACATTTTCAGGTGATGACATAATGACATAAAAATGCAAAAAAAAAAAAAAAACAAACAAACATTCTGAAAGATCAATAAACTTTAAATCCTTTTGAACACTGTTAGTAGAAGGCATTTTAAATATCCTAAACAAATAAACAAAAACAATTGAAACAACAAATAAAATTATTATGAAGGCTCTGTAAACAAAATGGCCCTTCAAAAAAATGGCTGGATGAGGCCAAAGCAGCAGACTGAAGACTTCAGTCATGAAGTTTTTGACAGAAAAAGAGAAAAAAGAGAAACAATAAATCATGCAAATGTAAATTATTGAGTTCATTATAATTTATTATGCAATTAAATAATGTATTGCTTATTGCAACAGGATTGCGACAGGCCTGCATCTAGCACCTACAAAATAAAATTACTAGTGAAAATTAGAAGCTTGAGTAAAAACAATATATATAAAAACTACAATAAACACAGCATATGTTCAAAAATGTATATGTCAATAATACATTTCTTTTGGATGACATCTTTGATCTCATGCATGTTACAACTGTTTTCCAGTTTTTAGGCAACTAAGCTGGCCACTTTGCAATTGCTCAGGAAAAGAGGGGAAGGATATTTGGACAAACATGTTGCAGATGGGACTTGGTATAGGATAATTGGCAGAATATTTTCTAGTCAGTCCATCATCTCCACCGCTCTTAAGCCGATTGATAAAAGCAGACATACTAATATCTTTCTGTATTTCTGAAACCTGGTCCAAATTATGTGGCATTTTATGTTCATCTTTGAAGTGGTGCCTCGTAATGACAGTCTCTCTAAAATGCATTAAAACCTAATTGGATTTTGCCTTGTTTTGGCTGGTAAAATATTTTCATTATCTCAGGTCCAGCTGATCAACTGCTCTATAACTAGGTTATCAAAAGTTCAGACAGTTTTCGAACCCCTTGTGAAAGTAGATCTTTTTGTATTTCCGAGTCCTTGTCCTTGAAATATTTCTTTATCTTTGGAGTGGATCCTCCTTTGGAATGGAACAACGCCAGTCTCTCTAAGCGATGTTCCAACCTAATTGCTTCCTGCCTTCTATTGGCTGGGAGAATGTTGTACTGAAATGGAAAATATTTGACTGCTCATTGGAAATGGACAAAGGATGTCATATACAATGTTTACACGGAAAAGATCAGATCCATTCTACAGGCAAAACTCATTTTATAGCAAATGCTAATCTTTTTTTCCTTATTTTGAAAACATAGATACTGATATTACTTCATTCTTTTTATTTGTGTTTATATTATCTATTTATTTTGCTGTGTTAGGGATGTTGTGGAGGGCTGCAGTTTTGAGGGAAGAACATTAAAAGTTTATTAATACCGTTGTAAGTGTTGTTGAATACAGTGTTTGTTCAATAAAATGCGTTGATCAAAAAAGATTGAACTACAGTGTTAGTGTCTGTTAAGAAAATACATTTAGAATATGCTAGTTTTAAAACTTAACATGTCTTTATTGAAATAGCCTAATTATAGTTTTCAGATCAATAACTTATTCTGCCCTATTGACCTTTATTTTACCTGTAGTTACAGCAGATTGTTTGCCAAGATCTTTTTGAACTGCCCTTTGTCTGTGTGGGAAACAATCAGGCGAAGTTCCAGCTTTCACACTGATCTGTAAAAAGCCGTAAAACCAGGAGTCCAGGCCAGTAGAGGAGAAGCTCTGCTTCCAGTTTGTTTAGACAAAGGGGACAAATCGCCTTTGATCTTGAAAACAAATTGCAGGGAGTTTTTAACTTTAGAGAGGGTCAGAGACAGCTCCTGGTTGGATGAGCAAAGATATGCCTCATTTGAATAAATTAAAAGACAAGAATACGCCTTTACTATAAAACTTTGTACACAGGAGTAACAAATCAGATTTGCTCTTGCAATTCTCCAAAGACGTCTTTGCACGTCTTTGCTTTCCTTTCTTTCTTCCTTTCTTTCTTTCTTTCTTTCTTTCTTTCTTTCTTTCTTTCTTTCTTTCTTTCTTTCTTTCTTTCTTTCTTTCTTTCTTTCTTAATTTTTTTCGTCTTGTTTTCTATTTGTCTCAGGTAAATGAATGTATGTCTCTGTTGTTCTGCAGTTTCTGTTGTAATTTCATACGTTGTCTTCTATTGGACTAAACTCTGTAATTCTGTGACGTCAACACTCATTGTTTTTTGTATGGCTTCACTTCGGCCCGCCGGGAGAACCTGGGATCCGTGAGAAGATAGAGCCAGAGATTTTCCAAAATATATTATAACTTAAAATCTTCTTCAACATGTCCCAAACATAATTACATAGGGGTGCTGTGGTGGCACAGGGGCAAAGCACAACATACGTATTGAGGCCATAGTCCTCGTGGTGGTGGTCACAGTTTCGATTCCCAGTCTAGCAACATTTGCCGCATGTCTTCCCCTTCACTCATTACCCTCTTTCCTGTCGAACCACTTTCAAATAAAGGCCACTAGAGCCAACAAAACCTTTTTTTTTTTTGGGAAAAAAAAACAAACAAAAAAAACATTATTACATAAAAACACCTCACCAACACAGACACGAGGGTCCCGAATATCCCTGTTGGGATCTTGGTAGTAGAACGGTTTGCACATCTCACAGTTGCGTCCCATTGTGTTGTGCAGACAGTTATCACAAACTCCACCGCTGGTGTTGCCCATCGCCAAATACACCGCCATGTCAAAGTGACACTGGTTTGTGTGGCCGTTGCAGTTACATTCTGCAGAAAAAGGTTTAAAAAATCCAGGAAATTAATATTATGTAACATAAACAAAATAAATAAAATAAAGTCTAAAGAATTCTTAGATTTTTTCTGACAAACCAACACAAAGTAGTAGTGATGCACTGAGTCGTTTTTTCCAAGGAGTTGAAAATGTAGAAATATATATATATATATATATATATATATATATATAAAACCCGCCTATATACTTAAATGCCAAACACAGCATTTAAGTGCTGTGTTTGGCAAAAAACTAATCCTGCGCATCACTCTGAACACACCATCCCCATGTTGAAACATGGTGTTGGCAAAGTAATGCTGTGGGTATGGTTCTGGTCAGAGTTGATAAAGTGGATGGAGCTGCAAGACAGTCCTGGACAAAAACCTAAAACTCTCTGCACTTGCTCATTGATTGTAAAAGTCTAGAATTTAAAATTAAATTTGAAGCTCTGAAAAACTTTGCATGGTTTTGAGTCTTGGTACATTTGAGAATTTCTACTTAACCATGTAGAATGTTTTCAGCAGCTTAGCCAAAACGGCTTAAGTTTTTTCATTTCTTTCTTTGTGTGTTTATGCGTCATGTTTTAATGCTCTCATATGTTGCTTTGTTCATCTTTTATTTTTTGGAATCTCTCAACATATTTTTTCTTATAGCACAGTTATAATTTTCCTTTGTATGTTTGGTACCGTGCAAATAAGCTTGCTTAGCGTTTCAGCTGGAACATGACCCAAAAACATCCAGTCATAGTGCAATGTCGGGACCAAACTAAATTAAACAATTGCTTCTGGGTGCTCAGCTCTTTCCTCCACTATCAGGCTGATGAATACAAGGATCAAATTTTAAAAAATTTCAAATAACATCAGATGTCAAGAAAGAGGAGAACTGAAGCTGTTTATTCTGTTTCTTCTTGTTTTGTATTCTGTTCCGTCAGCCTAAAATAAAGACACGTAGAACTTGGAAGACAAGATCACTCGTCCGTTTACACACTCTCCTGTTGGTTGTCTTAGAAAACAAGTATTTGCAGATCTGTTTTTGCCAGATGAAAGATTAATTGTATCGACTTAAAAAGCAGCTTCAGTCTTCGTTGAAAAACCTCATGATCAATAACATCTTATAAAGTTTGGCTGAGATTGTGCATGGATGGTCTACCTCTGCATGTGTGTGGGTCCTCTGTCTCCGCTGGTCTCCAAGGTGAGTCATTGTGGAAAACCTTGCAGCGCTCACAGTTCAGACCTTCAGTGTTATGCTTGCAAACACAGCGGCCATGGATCTAATGAATCAGAGTACAGAGAATTATGAGATAAAAATGCTACAACATCCTGGAAAAACGAGATCAAATGAGACCATTTCATTAAAAACTAGAATAGACATTAGATTTCTTTTGTTCCTCTTCTGGTTTCAGGTAACAAGACTATTTTTATTTTAATATTTGATTGTAAAAAAGATCATTGGTTGATTTTAAAGTTTAGCTTCACAAAATCCATTAAGTGATTTAATCTAATAATATTTACAATAAAATGCTGTAAGATGTCAGATAAAGACACTGGACTGTGTCTTTGTGGCTAAATACATGTAAATATAAAATACATTTTACTAAATTAGTGTGAATTCATAGGACATTATAGGTAAGCAGTGCGAACGCGTCCAAAAACAGTTGAGATCTCGACCAACATAACCCAACTAATGGGCAACCACCCAGGGCGGCATCTAGAAAAACAAAGGGTGTTCCAACATGACAATGATTTCAAACACACCAGAGCTGGCTTGGAATCAATAAACACATTAAGCTTCAAGTAAGCACTCACCTGCACATTGAAGAATGTAAAGACTATCCCTACAAGTCAGCTCTGAGTCCAGAGAGCAGTCAGTTTAAAACGAAACCTACCAATTATGCCATGAATAGTGATATAATCATACCAGAATAATGTCCAAAGCTTGTTGTCAGAGTTCATCTGTAACTTTCTCAGGCACATCTAACCAAGTATTAATAGGAATGTAGGTATATATATGTGAGCTTATCAGTATAATATTGAAAAGATAAATCCATAACTGTGTGTTCCTTTGCTTAGCAGTTTGTATTATTTTCATTAATGCAGCTAGTCCTCCACCAGCTTGAACCTCTGCTTTTAAAACTGAAGTATGTAACTCCTCTGCCTTCTTCCAGGGCTCACTAGAAACAACCAATCAGAGCAAGGAGGAGGATCTTAGCGCCATCAGTCACCCCTCTGTGCAGCGCTGCTCAACCCTCTTATCCAATTCCTCCCTTTACTCTCTGCTCCACTACAGCTTTTTCCTGATAGCAGAGCCTGTCATAAATGCTTGCAGTTTTCCTGTACAGAAAGTCATTTTGCTGCCTTGAACACATTTAGCAACAAGTACATAAAGTTGACTGACAGAGCCAAGACCTGCCTCTTTGCTCTGATTGGATGTTTTTGGTTGGGAGCGGTGTATTTCTTCAGATGGTAATAGAAGTTCAGGCGGGGGGAGGAGGAGATCGATCTTTTCCCAGATCATCTGTCTCATAAATACTGTCAGGATATGGTAACAGTTTTAACAAATGTGTACGACATATATATTATATTAAAATATGGGTTTTCTTTTTTTTTTTTCCCAAAAGTTACATACTGCAGCTTTAAGTCTACATTTGGGTGTTGGTCTCACTTCAACACACACAATGCAATTTGTGCTAGTGTATTAGTCTGTTAACCCACCATGCCAGTCTCATGGGTGTTTACCCCTGGCACTGGTGCGCACTCTGAAGCATGTCCGTAACAAAAACAGCTTCCTCGGACCACCAACTCATTAATGGCATAGTAATATTTCTGCAGAACATCCGAACGGCGGTCCAGCAGATCGTCTCCCAGCGTGTTGAGCTTTGTGAAGTTGATGCGCAGGTTGGTGATACGCAAAAGTTCTGAAGAGAAAAAAACAGATCAAAATAGCCTTAATTAAGAGCTTTTTTAATTCAAAGAAGAAAATTACAGTGGAGACACTTAATAATCAAAACAAAGATTATCTGGAAGGAGGCCAATACTTTTCATGGTGATGTATGTTGATATGTAATAAAGAGTATTTTTCATGTCACTCATTGAAGTTTATTCAGTTAATATAATTCAATCGTAGGTGTGATACCTTTCTTTAACTCACTTTTCCTGTGTCTCCATATTAATATGCCTTAGGGGCCAACCTGTTAATGAGTTTGAGGTAAACAGCAGACTACTTGTCTAAGTTTAGACAAGTAGTGTGTTTTTTTGTTTTGTTTTGTTTTGTTTAAGAAAATGTAGTTGCAACATAAAGATAAACAGATGAAGTTGAGTCTCATTCTATATAATGCAGTTTGGCTGGTTAGATTATTTTTTTATCTGCTTTCATCCTGCTGATTCATCAACCTTCGTGATGATGGATGTTTTCTCGTGTTCCAACAAGTCTGTGGAATACAGGAAGCATGCTAATAGCAGGTGTTAATGAGGAATCTTCTTATCAGGAGGCAAAAACTATTTCACTGTCTGATCTGGGTTCTCCCCTAGCATGCAGCCTTAGTTTGCAAATGGCTTGTTCAAACAGGTTTTGTTAATGAATAAAAACTGACAAAAATGTCAAGGTGACATTATACACTGATGATGATGTTATTGTTTCATACACATAAAGTCTTCACTGACCTTGAATCTCCAAGCTGTAGGGATCTTCTACTGGAATTGCTGGATCCAGCACTTTAAAAATGACCTTCATTACAGAATAAAATAGTTTAGGGAAAAAAAGTTGGAGAAAAGTATATTACAATTTAATTTTAGGCATTAAAAAAATAAATCAAAAGTTTGATTTGTGAAATTGAGACCCAAAATCTATCATTGTCAGAGGTGGGTGCTCATTACATTTACTCAGCTGCATTTATTTGAGTAACTTTTAGGGAAAAATGTACAGATTTTAATTTCTTTGCAAATGTAGATTAGTGGATAAAATTGATTTGTGGTCCGAGGTATTTATCAGTGTGCCCCGGTGTGGAGAAACTGAAGTGACAGGGGCTAAAGTGTTTTTCTGTCTATATGGTGTCAGCGTGTTGGTTCAACTGTTTTGTATTAGCTTGTTGGCTAGCTCCCCACATACAATTGTGATCCGTTTGTCCTGTAAAGGGCCTTAAGTCGTAATTTGCTTTATTTGAGTTTGTGTGATATTAGTAAAATAAATAATCTCTTAGAGTCCCAAATTTTCCAGTGTACCTCTCCATCTTTAGAGGGCTCGATATCAGAGTAGCGTTCTTCACAGATGACGTCGTTGATATGGTGCAAGCCATTGGCGGGGATGCCAGGGAAAGTCCTGGTACAGTTCTTGGCGAAGTAGCGGTAGGGGCGCCATGTGCGGCCAAAATCAGCTGATCGCTCTATGATCAAAGCTGCAGGGCGAAAAGTCTGGAGAGGTTCAACGAACACAGAAATTATTACAGCACAAGTCAAAGTCATCAGTGAGTTTTGTATGACAACAAATACAAATAGGAATTCAAAGTCATTTGTGTCAGGAGAGCAACTTCTCTAAGTGATTTGTCTAAAGCTTTTGCTTTATGGTAGATCTGCCAACAGATAGTGAGATGTACAAAACAAACAGGCTTGAGTAAGTCTCCAGCAGATACAGTATACTCAGAGACAGAAAGGCAAAGGCAACTTTAGTTTGGGTTTAGACTCGGGGTCTCAAACTGCATTCCTCAAGGGTTCGGTGTCCTGTAACTTTTAGATGTTTCTCTGCTTCAGTACACCTTCATTTTGCAGTCTTTAACCACAGCCCTATGTAGTGGTTTGCTTTGATTACCATCATGAGTTTAACATAATGTTATTTAATTTCTTTTCACTTAGCTTTGGAAAGATAAAGGTACATTTCAAACTACATCAAATTACAAGGAACGTACCTTAAACTTCATGATTAGATGTGTGAAGTGGAATTCAGCCTCAAGGTTCAGTCTGATGCCGACGTCCTCCTTACCTGCGACAAACACACCAAGATGTGTCAGGAACAAATGACAAATCCTTTAGTCTCAGCTGTTGATCCTGACACAGGTACCACGAGAAAACAGAGGCAACAAGCAAACTGATCATGCGTGTGTTCATCGTTGAAGGGTAAATGCACACCATTGACAGATTTCCAAAAGTTCTCATTCCCATTGAGGTCTGTGAGGTAGATCACGTTTTCGATGCGGTGGCTGTTTCTGTGGTGGTAGGGATCATATGGCCGACGGGAGTCGCACTCGAAACACTTTTCTGGATCCTGATGAGGCAAACAACATATTCAGCATCAGAAGAAACCAGAGAACAGTTGGACTTGTGTCAAATGTTATGCACTTCTCATAACAACCCCAACCATGACAGCATATTTTCTTGACATTTGTATCTAGACTTGAATGAAAGCTGATTTGAGACGAGGATGCAGTATTGCTCTTGTGGGGTAAAAAGGGGATTCATTTGAGAAGAGGCCTTGAAGAGGGGCACAGATGGAGCAAACTGGGGCTAAACAGAGAAATAAGGGGAAGTTGGCACAGAGAACCGGTGGATTCCAGGGCAGCGTCTCTTAATTAGGCTGTTGTCAAGGGTGATTAAGCTGGCAACAACAACGTGGCTGTGAAATGGACTCAGCTGAGCCGGGAAAGGAAGCACAGTCATGGATGTGCATGCATGTCAACTTTTACATGGCTGTGCACATATGAAAGAATAACACACCAGTTTGAGACCTGGAGCACGGATGCGAGCTGGATCTTATTAATACAATGTTCCTTAGAACCTATCAAAGTCATACAATTTCAAACATCTTACCTGTAAGAGCCAACACTTAGATTCAAAAGTACTACTTTGACTTTGATGCCTGTGAAGTGAAGATATATCAGCCAGATCCTAATTAATCTGGTCTTTCAGGCCCTCTGTATTGCTGATGTTGCCCTAAAGACCCTTCCCTCCTCTTCTCAGCTCTCATTTGTCTCCCATTAGTCAAGCCTGGTCAGCTGAACTAAAGGGTTTTGCTTTAACAATCCACTGGTTAAAGTCTGCAGCTGATTTGACAACACTTTTCTTTGTCGTACTACAACGGTAGTTTCAAACACAAAAAGAAAGTACATCCCACCTCCCTCATTTGGTTTCCATTGTACCTCAACTCAGGCTGTGAAACTGAGACTTTGCTGCCGTTTTCTCCTCAGTGATTGTCTCTTTTCTTTAGTTTTTCATTCACGCCCCCCTTCCTCACATTTCCCGTTGAGAAAAAGCAAATAATATGCAGCGATTACAGAGTAAAGGAGAGATAAAATAGTAGACAACAACCAGCTTACATACTTCCGCTCTACAGAAAACTAGAAAAAAAAAAAAGAGCCTGAAATCTGATCCTGCAGAGCAGAAAAACACTACCCAGGAAACAGACATTGAACATGAGTGACAGATGATAGCGTGGACATTTGAAAGCTGGATGACAAATGTTTTCTGTGGGGCTCTGAAGTGTCTTCAGACATACCAGGCTGTCACAATATCCTGACCCGTACTGTAGTAAGTAAGGGTGTAGAAAGCACAGAGCATCAATTATGTTCACCTGGAAGTTGACAGTGGTTAATATTCCTGCCCTGAGGCAGTGGAAGTGCAGGCACAAACATGCAGGTGTGCGGAAATGCACGGATGTGAGCTGGATGAATGTAAACATGATGGTGAAAACGCCAGGAGGAGTGCAGTGTGTGCAGGATGTTTTAGCAGAGTGTCCCACTGTGGAAAGAAGCTTAACCCAAACATATGCTTCTCTTACTTTTCATGAAATATGTTTGAGATAGTTTTCAGTTACAGTAGTTACAGTAGATACCCTGTATCTAACAATTACAACCTACTGCTGATGGAGGTTCTGTGGTGCTGAAGGGGCAAAGCACAACCCACATATGGAGGTCTTGGTCCTCAATGCAGATGTCACAGGTTTGACTCCCAGACTGGTGACCTTTGCCCCATGTCTTCCTCCTCTCTCATTGCCCACTTTCCTGTCTACCCATTCTCAAATAAAGGCCAGTTGAGCCAATAAAACCTTTTAAAAAAAAAACATACTGCTGATGAATAGGGCTACCTATTAATGTCCTATAGTTTGCATAAGTATATTAATTTTTCCTTTGTTAACACTGTACCAAAACTGGCTCCAGCCCAGGGGCCCACATCCTTGCAAATCCAGCCCTTGTTACAACACCCATTTCTTCTTGTTGGAGGAGCGGAAGATGAGGTAGTTCCAGTATTTGAATGAATCTCTTCTGTCTAAACTTGCTAATCAACTAGAGTTTGTTTAAAGTGGACTGAACAGGGCTGGTGTGAGTGTACCCTTAGACAATATTTATAAGAGTATTTCACCATGTTTATATTTCTCCTCTGTGCAGATCCCATCTGCAGCTGCAGGGAGTTTTAATCTCCTTATATGCTGGTTATAATCTTTAATATCCTACTAAATCAGCTCACTCAATTAAATAATTCTTTTTGTCAGGAGTTTTATTTCATCTAGCATACCCTGACTCTTTGAATACATATTCAAGCATACAGTTTTAATATTTCAGCATATGCATGTAATCTTCAATATATGTAGGCTACAGCAATGACACGACCCTGCTTAATGAGACCAGCAGCTACACATTTAGCCTCTCTAAGGGATTAAACTCAAAGTCACTGGTGAAGTGCAACCCACAAAAATTATATACTGAAATATGGCTTTAATTTTGGACTAATCAGAACAGCAAACAAAGATGTGATAAACTGAAAGAGAAAATGTGACAAAAACAGAGTGTGTGTTTAAAGAGGGTGGAGCCGCTAGTGAGTTAACAGCTGGAGGGGCCTCACTCATCAAAACTACAAACAAACAGACAGATGAACAATTATAGATGAAGTAGTGATGAGTGACTGATGGAGGAGCATGAAAAGAGAAAACATAACTGCAGTTTTCTTTTCCTCCTGACAGGATGGCTTCATATACAGTGGCTTGCAAAAGTATTCATACCCATTGAACCTTTCCATATTCTGTTACCACAAACATAAAAATATATTTTCTTGAAATTTTACATGAAAGACCAACATAAAGTGGTATACAATTGCGAAATAGAAAGAAAATTGTACATGATTCAAAACATTTTTGCAAACTAAAAAATGAAGAGTGGCGTGCAAAACTATTCAGCCCCCATTTTCTCTGAGGACAACCAATTACCTTCAGAAGTTGCCTGATAACTGCTAATGTCTAATAGGATACACCTGTGTGTAATACAATCTCAGTACAAATACACGCATCTGTAACCCTACCAACACGACGCCGTCCACCTAAACTTCTAGTCTGAACAAGCAGAGCACTGATCAGAGAGCCAACAGGCCCATGGTGACTCTGGACCAAACACAGATCCACAGCTCAGGTGGGAGAATCCATCCACGGGACAAGAATTATTGTTAAAAGAAAACCATAAGAAGTCCTATTTGCAGTTTTCCAGAAACCATGTCGGACACAGCAAACATGAGGTCAGAGACCAAAATTAAACTTTTGGCCAAAATGCAGAACGCTGTGTGGCAGAGAACTAACACTGTCCATCATTCTGACCACACAATCCTCACTGTCAAATATGGCAGTGGCTGCATCATGCTCTGTGGTGCTTCTCTTCAGCAAAGACAAGGAAGATGGTCAGAGTTACGGGACGATGGACGGAGCCAAATTCAGGGCAATGTTAGAAAGAAAACCTATTGGAGTCTGCAAAAGATTTGAGACTTCTCACGCCACACTTTTCAGTTTTTTATATATAAAAATGTTTTGAATCATGTATAATTTTCTTTCCACTTCACAATTGTATATCACTTTGTGTTGGTGTTTAACACTAAATTTGTGGCTGTAATATGACAAAATATGGAAAAGTTCAAGGGGTATTACTTTTGCAAGCCACAGTATAAACTGTATGGAGGACTGATGACCTGATAATCAGGTCAAGTTCAGGATTAAAGAAATGAATTTAAACCAGCACTTCATTCTGACACAGCATGCACAATAATTATGAGCTAAACTACCTGAAATGATCAAAACTGATCTGGAATAATCAAGTGCAATTATCCACTTTTACTCCCTTTTTTTGCTTGGAGCTTTCCTTCAGAGTATGAATTTTGTTCCAATCTTCCCAGTGAGTGTGCACTCATTTCCTCACCTGCAGGTAGCTGACAATACAGAACTGCTCCGGTCCGTCCAGACCGCATGTGGAGGTGGCAGTCAGGTTGACAGCTCGTCCAATCAGAAGGTTTCCAGTTGCAGGGTAACAGCTTCCCTCAGTGCAGCCGTGAGGGCTCGACGGGAGCTCCTGTCCAAATGCATTCAGAGCTGCATACAAACACAGACCCACGAGGGCCCACACACAAAAAAAAAAAAAACGGCTTGTAATTATTCTACCATTACAAGATTCCTCCATTTACTAATATAAAATTGAACACCACAAGAAAATCCAACCTCTGTACATTCAATACCGGCTAACTTGTTTCTAAAATGGTTTTCAAGTAATGGTTTCTACACAAGTTCAGCACATTTCAGATCAGTTATATGATAGGCAAATGGACATTGAACTTGTCATGAGTTGTGGTGGTTGGTGGTGAGGAGAGACGCAGGTAGACCCAGGATGTAGATGAAAATTATGAGTTTAATGAAAATGCTCAAAACAGTCCAGATCAGGTGGCACGGCAGAGAACATAGAGCACAACTAGTTACCGGGAGCAACTGACATACTGAAGACTGAAACAGGAGCTAGGCAGACAGGACTTCTCAGTTCCACTGGAGAGCCGACACACAACAACTGACGTACGACAATAGTAGACGTCCACAGGTGGACATAAATACACACGGGGTAATCAAGGGAACGAGACACACCTGGGAACAATCAAGGGCTGACAGGACAACATAGACACTCAGGGAAACAGGACTAAACACAGAAAACCTCAAAATAACTATACAGAAAAACACGGATCATGACAGAACTTCTCTTTACAGCAAACCATAAAACCAAAGTCAAGACACCAAAGAGGCATGAAATCCGTGTCAGATTTTTCACCGATACAACAGATGGTGATGAGAAATCACGTGGTTTGATTGGCTTGATTGGGGTTAAATTGTGTCAATGTCTTTTTAAGTTGAGTTTTCACATAATATGAAACGCCACCAACCACACCGTTTGGTATTGATTGATTAATTTATTGATTTATATACATTTTCTTTGTCGGAGGAAATTTTTAAACTTGTCTGTATTGAACAATAAATGTATTGTATTTAGGTAGAGTTACTACAGCCAAAGCACTTTACAGTAGAAATCACATCACAAATAAAACAGTAAAACAATAGAAATAAAGGTATAGAAGTTGTTACTGATTATGAGTATTGAATATTATCAATATGTAGCTCAATATGTAGCACCGGGCTCAAATACATGAAAAGATTTCATGTTATACAACACACCAAATACACATCAATATCACTCGTTATTAACACATAAACTACATGTTAACAGCACCCCAATGTAGAATAAACATGCTGCTTATGCCTTTTTGTTGGGTCATAAACAGATGCTGATTGTGTCTTAAAAGGCACAAAAAGGTATTTTATTTGTTGTTGATATTTTATTTGTGTCATTAACACGTAGTTTATGTGTTAATTACAAGTGACATATTTGATGGGTAAACATCACTTACTTTCCATATTGTTTGTGTGTTGTGTGCACGTCGACATAATGTGAAATATTTATGTTCATATGGCACTGGAGGCTTTCCATACTTTTTAGCATCTTCACTTTGATAACTTAGAGAGTTTTAAAAAAAAATCAACAAAATTGTGTTCACGTGACTGACAATGACTTTATGAGTTTGAAGTCGTCTAACCATAACAGTAATTGTCTTATTTTGACCCTGCTTTTACTAGCCAGTAGATCTAAAATTAATCTTTGTTCTATCATAATAGTGAAGATAGGAAAAGTATCTACTGGAGTTAAGATACTGACTGTTCACATGTGCACAAGACAATCCCACTTTGAAGAGTCTTTGTTCCAAATAGTCTGAATAATATATCTAAAAATTTCTCTGTTATTTGTTGGATTTCATTATGTTCAGAGAACATAATTTTAGTTTTACAGATGTAGTGAGCACAGCTGTTTTCCGCCACAAAAAAACATTATTTTCCTTAATTAAATCACTAAAGTCCATTTCATGTCTTACTATTTTAAGTTTTATGATCAACTGAACATCAACATACTAAGATATGAAGCTTTAAAGAAGGTTCATATCTTCTTTCAGAGAAGGCATGAAGCAAAGAATAATATCTTCAAAGAACTCCGTCTGTTGATTTGGAGACAATAGAAAGGCAGGCATGCTGAGGCATGATGGGAAAGTCATGGGTGGTTTCAAATGGAATCAAAAGTATTTTCTGTGAAAAAATGAAATACTGCATCTCTACTCTTGATGAGCATGGTAGTGAGAATTGCTTTCCAAAGTGTGATTTATTTTTAATAAAGATAACACAAGTAGCATAAAAAAAATTTTATGAGATGATATCAGTGTTTTTTTTTGTTTCTTTTATTATTATTGTAGTTAATTCCTGGTATTATCACCTTTCATCCTCAACATTTATGTCACTCAAAGTGCATTATCTACTATAATTCCATTCTCTTTTCAGATGGATAGAGTGAATAGGAAATGCAAAATAAATTTTTTTCTTTACTTTAACAGCAACTGTACGAATTCTAATAAAGATTTAGTTCTTTTCTCATTCTTCCCTTGTTCTGCTACATCCTAGTAGCCAAAACACTGGTTTGTGGAACTTGTGGAAACAAATGTTATTGACATTTTGGGTTCCATTATAAAAGCTGCACACTGTTCTTTTGAAATGACTGATTAAATGCACTTTTTCCCAATAACTGCCCTCCATAACCTACCCAACCATTTTTCACTGCCTACAGAAGGTAAAGAGAAAGCGTGAAGGCAGTGCTGATTCTGCTGAACCCTCAGTAGCCAATAAATATCTTTATATATATATATATATATATATATATATATATATATATATATATATATATATATATATATATATATATATATATATGATTTTGCTGATGGCTTTTAATTATTAGTAGCTTTGACAGAAAAGCGGTCAAAGTTAGAAGAGGTACACATGCGGTAAAAGTGGTAACACCTTATGCAAGTCTCTTAAAGAGGCAGTATTACATATTGTCCAGCCACATAGTGCCATTTCATAGCCCAATCAAGTAACTATGTTGCGTTCAGTTGTTATAAAAATGCTGAATGTATCAAATATGACTTAAAAGAAATTTGACTTCCTGATTTAATGCCTTGAAATTGGGCTTGTCTCTTTGAAAACTCCTGCTCTTTCTGACACTCCTCTGTTGACCCTTTAACAATGTTTTTTACCAGCGTTTCACTGAGAAGCAGCTCATATGAGCTCAGAAGAGGTACACTACCAAACTCCACGCAGAAAGAGCCCAGGCTGGGATCAGACTGGGATAGGACTTTCCTCCTGCAAGGCAACAGTGCATGCACTGCAGCCTCTGTGTTTTATGTTATTGTAAAATATGAAGAACCAAATTTACTTATTAAGGTCACACATTGCTAGCAGCAAATCCTTAGAAACTTTCCAAATGTTTTGCGAGAGCCGTTATGTAACCTGGTACTGGATAAATAAACTTAGCTGAATTAAAACAACGTTTTTACAAAATTATTATGAATGAATTACAGTTGCAAAGCATTTGGAGCATGCAAAAATGCAGCCTACTTGTCATGATTGCAGCCCTGCAGCCCTACCCTGAGTGTGCCGATTACTCATTACCCTCACCTGCACTGTGCTGCTCCCTATTTAAACAGCTGCTCGTCACCAGCTCAGTGTGAGATTGTCTGTTGCCACAGTCACAGCTTTCAAGTCTTGTTCCATGTTCATGAGTCTCCTGGTTTTCTTATCCCATCTGTTTTTTTGACCACAGATTTTGGCCTTTTCCCTCTGCTGTTGAAGATTTTTGATCTCCTGTTGCTGAACCCTGCCTGCCTCTGACCCTGCCTCCAGTTTTCTGTCTGTTGGATTTACATTGCCTGAGAAGCCCCTGTGCATGACCCTGGATTGTTTCAACGACTAAGTCTCTGGTTTGTGGATTTCGTCCCAGTCATCTGGTTGTCCCCTAAGTCCCCACGGCCCATTCACCCTACTGTCCCCTAGCTGGCTTCCCAACCCCTGTGGTTTCCCCATTCCTCAGTCACCAGTGTGACCACACCCTGTGGAGCCCCTTCTTACCCTTATTTTTTAATAAACTTTATGTGAACTTGAATACTTGTCTTGGCTGCGTTTTGGGTTCTGGCTGATTTTGCTTGTACATTACACTACTTGTTAAGCTTAAGGTGCTGTATTGATATTGGCTAGTCATCTTTTAGCTAACATTACCTTCATTCAACAGACTCTTAGTTTGGGGGGGAAAACTGTGAAACGTTTGTTGTGTTTTACTGGTTTGCTGCCGTGATTCTAACACAACTGAGTAGCTCTGCCCAACAGCAGCAGGTCTCCTTCATTGCTGAACAGGTGTAAACCCAGCGCGAGCGTCGTAGCGCTCATGTTGCGTTTAAAGGCGGCTTGGAAAAACAGGTTACAACATGTTAACAACGGATTAAACAAGTTCTTTGCGTTTTGCTGGTTTGCTGCCATGATTCTAACACAAACCTACGTAGCTCCGCACAGCAGCAGCAGGTCTCCTTCACAGGTGGAAACCCAGCGCGAGCATCGTAGCGCTCATGTTGCGTTTAAAGGCGGCTCGGAAAAACAAGTTACACCATGTTAACAACGGATTAAACAGTTTTAACTGCTGATAAAAGTGACAGAGGACACAGATATGGGAAGTGCAGAAGCCCCTACTGTATCAAATTGACAGAGGAATAACAGAGAGTTGGCCATTCTAAGGTAAAAACCCAGGGCTTACAGCGTTTTGTTTTTTTCAACCAGACTGCTTCCTGCGCCTCCCTTGCAATGGCACGGCGCCCCCCCTAGGGGGCATGCCCCACAGTTTGGGAACCTCTGCATTAATGTCACAGTTTCAAGCTAAATATTTAGTTAGCAAGCTAAATATTTTGCTTCAAAGTAAATATTCAGTTAACAAGCTAAATATTTAGCTACAAACTAAATATTTATAAGCTAAATACTTAGTTCAGCTATTGACCCTTTGCACATGACGTCACGCTCTTCATGACGCAGCTCACTCTGCCATAACAGGCGTCAAAACAACCTATGCACTCCTTTAAAACCTGTCATAAAACAGATAGCTAGTAGCCTAATATCACTTCTATGTTTGATTTAATTTTAAAAATGGTCATAGTATGCACAGACAAGGATGCAGCTGTCAATCATAAAGACTGGCAGCCCTCGGTGTGGATTTGTAGCAAACACTTTTTACAAGTTAAGATTAATGTTCATATACTTTATAAGTAAGTACGAATAGAAAAATATCAAATACTGCACTATGGAAAAGGTACGTACCTAACAATTAGTAACCATGGAGAAGATACCCCACCATCATGTAGCCATCTAACATGTATGTGAAAAACTGGTTAGCATCTCATCTTTTATACGTTAAGTCTCCTCTGGTGTAAGGAGAAACGCTGTCTGTGAATCCCAACCAGGTGTGCTATGTTAGACAAATTAGCTTGACTCAAGTAGAAGCCATGGCTAAATTGACAAAAATAACTTCGGAAAACAATTGCAGTCGCTCTGTTCAACACTCCCCTCACTTCCGATGTCAGTCGGAAGTGAGGGAGACGAGTTTCTGACGACTCTTTGCAACTAACTAATGATTAGTTGCAAAGAGTTCATATATTTTGTTAGAAGCTAACCATATAGCTAGCAAGCCAAATATTTAGGTCTGAGCTAAGTTTAGACCTAAATATTCACATCCAATAAGTGGAGGTGGACTTCCAAAATAAAAGCTGGATCTTCCAAACCTCTTTATACTCCTCCAAAGTTATTGTCTGTGGAAAGTTTTAATCTGTTTCACAACACTGAATAAAAAATTTCTTCCAGCCATTCAGAACAAACACACACACATGCACACGCATGCACACGAACACACACACGCACAATTGTAAATGCCTTGGCTGGTGTTCAAGTACAAGGTTCAATGTGAAGGATTTTCTGAATTCCTGTGAAACCTTAGCAGTGGCCGACTGACTGGAACGACTAACGTTTTTGAGTCACCTTTCAGGAAGTAGGATAGATTCCACAACATTGGGCAACAGTGTACCCCAACTTCTGAGCTATCTATTTCAAATGTAACAATGACAAAAGAAGACAAAAAGCTGAGAAATATACTGACTGCAGCCAAGAGACACCCAGGCCAAGCAGAAAATACAACTCAGTGTAGCTACAAGACTTCAACAGAAAACACAGATACAAGAAAATCATAACAAGGTCAGTTTAAATTTTATCAGTGTTGAGGCTGGAAGTATCAGGCCTTGGTCCCTCCCTTCTATTCAAACAATCCAGACAAAGATTACAGAGCTTGATTGAGAGCTACAACAGAGTGTCACCTGACCTCACTCTATAGGTATTACTTTACACAACAGGTTCATTCTCTGGTCAGACTATCCAGGTAAAGCTCCATAAAAATTCCACACAAAAAAATATTCCAATCCCTGAAGATAAAAAAGTAGATTTTTTTTCGTTTGGTTTATTTTGTCCCCTTTTTCACACAACAAAGACAATAAACAAAAGACAAGCACAGAGATTATGATGTTCATAAATAAATAATGAAAAGTATGCTCAAAATAAGCACCAGAGAGTACAAGAGAAGCAGTGACCAACACTAAAAGTACCCGGAAGGCAAGAATTTCTTTTTATCTTGGCAATTAATTTAATTTCTGATTTAGTGCTTCTGTTTGTTTTGCATCACTTCAATTTTTCACCACCACACAGGTTGTTGCTGGTGGGAAATATTCTCACTGATTGAGACAGTGATAGGGGTACCCTTCATATGTGTTGTGATCTGTCTGTGCTACTCTGTCTAGACACGTACCCCTTAGCTTTTCTCATAAATTAGCCTCAGTTTTAATCGCCGACTGAGTTTATGCTTAGGCACAGACCACACACTTGCTGAAAGTATGCCTATATTAGAAGCTTCGTGTCTGGTTTTGTCTAATGGATTTCTTCAAATCTGCTAGACTGAGACATATTTGAATAGTGTTTGAGGAGTTAATTATGAGGCTAAACCACTGTGAAACTCCCATAAAGCTATTTTTATTCTTTGAAGTGAATTTCTAGCCTCATCAGAAATGGCTTCAGAAATGGCTTGAGGTTCAGTATTGTTAGTTTATTCTAACAATAGAGATTGTGGTTCTCTGCTTGGTTAGCACATTTCTTCTGATGTGATCACATTGCTGTCGGATCATGAAGGAAGAGAAAAATGGTAAATGGATAAATACACAGCCTGACCGGAAAAAAAGTGCCAACTGAACTTAACTGAGCAACTAGGTATGAGCTTTTTATTGCACCAGCTGGTGCAATAAGAAGCACAACCATGTGGAAGAACCCAACCTGGCTAGAATCATTTCCACATACAATGTGAAGGGTACTCAAGAGGTTGGGACTAAACTGTTGTAGTCATAAGAAAACCACTGGATAGTGAAGTTAATTGGACAAACAGGCTGCAATTAGCAAGGAAACATAAAAGCTAGACATTAGAGCGATGGAAGAAGGTCTGATGAATCCAGATTGACCCTCTTTTAGAGTGATGGTCACATCACGATAAGAAGAGAGGCAGATGAAGTGGTGCAGCCATCGTGCTTAGTGTCTACTACCACTAGGAATGAGCAACCCGCTGTGATCTGGGGTTGCTGCAGCTGGTCAGGTCCAGGTTCAGCTGATTATCTGAACATACTGAATGACTAGATTAGTCCATCAATGGATTTTTCTTCCCTGATGGGATTTGGACATTCCAAAATGACAGTGCCAAGCTTTATCGAGCTTAAATTGTGGATCAGTCACCATAAAATCCAGAGACCTATTGAGAATCTTTGGATTGTTCTGGAGATGACTTTGTGCAGTTTAAAGAGTTTTTTTCCTATAATTTCTTTTCTGAATGGTCTAAAATACATAAAGACTTTTTCTACCTAACTTTTCATATTGGGCAAAAAAGATTTGGAGGTCAAAAAGAACTCCAAGTAGCTGTTTAATTGTAGTTTGTCTCCAGCAGTGTGCTTGAGACCATTTGGTCTGTCAGAGTAGCACGTGCTACTGGAGCATATCCACCCAGGAAAAGTCACACATAAATACCCCCTAAGGCATAAGCCTCGTGTATACAGCAAGAATGCAAGAACGTTGGAAAAAGTCACTCATCAGAGCCTCAATTCCAGGTGTCAGAGGGCTGGACACAACTTCTGGTTCTTTAGCTATGCTATACTCACAGAGCAAAGATTGTTCCAGGTATCTGCACCAACGTTCTTTGAACTAAAGTCCAACTTTATTGGACTTTACCAGTATAAGTGTCATTAAAGTTCACTGCTTCTATCCCTTCACAAATGCAGCCTTCTTCTAACTAGTTAAAGATTAATGTAAAAGCTGGAAGAAAAGACAAGTGTGTGCAGGTGAGTTTGATCAGGTGAGCTCAGATCTTCAGGCTTGATCAATCCATGCAATGTTCAATTCATCAGGTAAAACACAGACTAAAATCAGCATTAGTGGTGCAAAATATATCAGCATCAACATCAGTATTGGCCAAAGGAGGAAGGGAGGGAATTGACCATGTGGTGTTTGCTTGGTCATCTAACAGTGGTAGTGACGCAGTGCAGCTTGTTTGGCTGCTTTTCACAGTGTCAAAAGGATGGATTAATATATATAACATATGTAAATATTGGTTGTCATTCATAGCAGCAACATTAAAATCAGACATCAGTACTGACCCACATTTTCATATCGACGAATCCCTAATCAGCATATCTTATCTTTACACTGGACATAACATCTGAACAGAAAATCCCAATACAGTGGCACCAGTGTCACAATATGCAGTCACTAAAAGTTAAGATTTAAAAGCAAGCCTAAAATAATGACAAACATTTATGAATGTAACTCACCCAGCACCAGAAGGCTCAAATGAATAATTTTGATGGGCATCTTAATGGCCAAGTGGATGGACATCTGACTGTCTCGTTATCTGAAAAACAGAGAAGTAAAGCAATAAAGTAAATAATAATAAAAGAAGTAAATAATTAAAAAAGGATAAAGCAAGTGAAAGTATTTTTTATGGTTTTGTTTTTTTTTTATTCAGAGTTACTGAAACCAAGGTTCATGATATGAGATAACTTGAATGTATAATAAAATGTAAAACGTGAAGAGATGATCCATATATTATCTCTGGCGCTCATCCTTTTGGGGGCATGGAGGGCTAACGCTGCTTTCCAGCTGACATTGGGTGAGTTGTCATCGGTACTGCCTGGACAGAAAGCTAGTCCATCACACAGTAACACTGAGACGCACAAGAAAAACAACCATTCACTCACTCACTCCTAAGGACTATTTAGAGAGACCAATTAACTGTAGGAAGAAGGCAAAGTGCTCATAAAAAATCCACCTCTCAGACTGAGGGACAAACTCCTATCACCAAATATGAAAAATGTAACACCTTGAAATTGGGCCTCTGTCTCTTTAAAAACTCCCGCTCTTTCTGAAACTCTGATTTCATCACAACATGGCTCCTGTATTAGACCTTTAACAACGTATTACCAGTGTCACACTGAGATGTAGTTTGTATGATGAGATAAGCAGATGCGCTGTTCCAGCTGCTAATTGCTGCTGGCTAGTCTGAAGGAGCTGAGTGGGGGAGGGGAGCTCTGTGAGGCAGAAGATTTGAAATTGCAGCCCCGAGCTGCATCCCCAAAAAGAGGAGGAGATGCATCTTTGGTCCCTCAAGCCGTTTTACACAGCTGAATGGTTGCCATGGAGACTAAAGGATTTCTCAAATATGAATGAAGGGAACAACGCAACATTCCATGTATGGTTTTGATGAGGGAATAACAATGTAGCACGATGTAAAGCTCAACAAAGTCTGTTTAACATATTACTGCACCTTTCAACTAATTTGAACTGAACTAAATTGAAGAAAGACATAAAACTATATTTTACTCATGACCAATGAAGAGACATCAATTCTGATCTCGAGCAACAGCAAATTACAATGTATTCTATATTAGCCTTATGTCTAAAATGCAGTAATTACTTCATAGGGTGTTTTATAAAACTTAAACTTTCCTGATTGTGAAACAAAGTAGACCACTCTTTAATTAGTGTGACACTGTTGTAAACTCTGCCTTCCCTCCTGCTAAACACACTGTGAGTGAACTGTATCGGGATGACAGAACCTGTCTGTGATAATAGGCACCAGGGGCTCCAGGGCCATAATCCCATTATGATATCTCCATGTTTCTATAATTCCTTTAATTAAACAGCAGAGATTATTCAAGATATACCATTTGATATAACTGCACAAGCCAGCAACTAAGAAACTGAAGTAAAAAAACAACAACAAAAACAGTTGCTCTGTGAAAGCACTATTGTTAAATTTTAACAGCTACATTGTTAAAAGTTCACAGATTAACTCCACGTGATGTAAAGGAGTGGCGACAGCACAGGGTCACGTTTTAACCCTGAACCCACAGCATCAAGCTGCAGAGAAGACAGGAATATGGAAGGTTTAGCAGATCTCCAGATAAGCATCAGCAACGAGTGAGACCATACTCACATGACGCCGGGTCACCCCACTCTGCCCTGTGTGGTCAGGAGCTCTCCCTGTGTCTCTGCAGCCCACCGTCTCTTCAGACTATGGTCTAGCAGTGCACGTGTGCAGGTCCTGGAACCCGGCATGCGTGCATTTACGCGTGCATGAACATGTGCCCCAGAATGTGTAAAACAAACTTCAGAGCATAACTTGTGGCAGCAATGTAAAAACAGAGGGAATGCCGCTGGCCAATGGGAGCACAGGGTACCGGACGGGACCCCCTTCATTCGTCTCCTCCCAAAACTAACTCCCCCTGCCCCCCCAGGCTTGTCACTGGGGCACAGGCGGTGAATGGGCGGCTATTCTTATTCTAATTTCTCTGTCAGTCTCTGGACCATTGCCTGAAAGAGGGGAACGGTCTCCAGGCCTTTGGAATGCACCACCCTTTTCTTCTGGACACTCAGGGAGAGCAAGGCAGAGGAGGCTTGAGAAAAACAGAGAGGAAGTTAAAGGAAGAGAGGAACAGAGAATAAAAGGAGGAGGGGAAACTAAAAGCAAAACTAGAATTAGAGAAGATAAAAAGAAGAGTTACACTTCTGAGGGCAAGGAAGGTGAGCCTCAGCCACAGTCTCAAGTCTTTTGGAACTTCCAACAGGTTTTACATTTGGCTGCATCCATTGTCCATTTACAACTCTGACCAGGTTCCAACAAGAAAAGTATTTCCTCAGCATGATGCTGCCAACATCATGAGTCATTGCAGGAATGGTTTGTTCAGGTTTGATATACAGTGTTACTTAACTAGTGTTTGCATAAGTTTAGGTAGCATTTTGTATGTTCGGTGCCAAAAATCATCCATAAAATTGTTCAAACCTAATGCAGGTTTGGATTTCAAATATGTTTTTATTCAACTGTTTCTGATAGGAAATATAAAAAAAATAATATAAATTAGGTAATAAATGCAGTTGAAACCAGATATTAATGTACCAAAAAGACACACACATTTTTTTCACTGACTGAAGTTATATTAGGTCAAACCCCTGTAGTTATAGGTCAGTTAGAATTACCTAAATTATTTCAATTTGCTAAATGTCAGAAAACTTGCCGAGAGCAAATTTTTTAGAGATTTCTTGTAACTTTCCTTGAATTTAAATATTTACATACATTTGGTGAGCATTAAGAATAACTGTCTTTTAAACTGTATGCCTTGGGTCAAACCTTCTTGGTTCTCTCCCACAAACCTCTGATAGGTTAAGCGACACATTGCAGTTAACTGGAAGAAAACCTGCACAGCTGATGGAGCTGTGCATCAGCAAACACTGGATGCACACGTGTGTTTGCTGGGTAGTCTGAAGGAGCTGAGTGGGGGAGACGTGGGGAAGGGCTGCTCTGTGAGGCAGAAGCTCTGAGTCTGCAGCTCTAAGGAGGAGCTTCACCTTGAAGGCGGAGCTAGGTCCACCCAGGTGTTTGTCACAGCTGAACAGTTGCCATGGGAGATTAAAGGATTTCTCAAGCATGCATAAAATAATCAAGGCAACACTCCTGGTATATTTTTTATAACATGATGTAAGGCTCAAAAAATTTGATTTTCCATAATACATCCATTTAGCAGATTGCTAACAGGTAGTTTTATCTATGCATTCTGCCACAACCGGCCCTTTGAAGACATTCATGATCTGGATTTGGCCCGAAATGAAAGTGAGTTTGACACCCCTGTCATAGAGGCTGAAATGCCTCCTTGCCATCACCTTAATCTTTAGCCCCATCCAAAGTCTTTATCAGTTGAAACTTAAGGTATGTGAGTTTAAGGAACAGCTGGCTGAATTCACGAGTCAAATGATTTTTGCTTAATTGTTCTTTGTCGCCGATATGTGGCTAAACCTCTTTCAACTGCTATTGAAGGTGCATTCACTTTCCTCAAAACAAAGTTAACCTGGACATCCAGTCTGAAAGCAAGGTCAGCTCTTCAGAAACGTCAGTAAGCCAGTTAGATAGTTGCTACCTCAAGCTACACAAAACAAATAGAATAAAGACTAAACACTCAAAAAATACATCACTTATTGTTCTCAACAGTTAGACTGGTTTTTTTTTAGCAAAAGCATTAAACAATTACAAAAAGTTGCTGCAGATCACCTGAGCTGTCTGATAAACACCAAATCTGTTGAGGACAACTATGTGACCTTGGTTAGATGAACTGATTGGATTGGTAGAGTGGTGCATGTTGGTGGACGTGTGCTTAGTGTATTGCAATATGTGTTGTTGCGATGCATCATGTTGTGGGTTATACAAGTCTCCGATTAAGCAGAGAACTGGGTAAAAAAAACGACAGGCGAGAACAAAGCAGCACATTCTGCTCTGTAGCAATGTGACCTTTGGCATCGATTAAAGTGGGACATGGAGGCTCAATGTGTCACTGAGCAAACACAGAGGAGGAGAGAGAAGCTGTCTACACAAGCTCTGCACATTAGCAGTGGAATTATCTCACTGTAGTGAAGTTTTATGTTTCAACAATATATCAGGTGACCTCAAAGGTAGTCTCAGGCCTTATTCAAAGACACTGCAGTAACAAATCTTAGGAGTTTTTAGTTGAGGGTTAAGCTGTATTTCAGGAATCCCCATCCATCCATTCATGAACTACACAGGTTATACCTGCAGGATCGTGGAGGGGCCGCTGCCTAACTACAGCAGTCAATGAGTGAGAAGTGAAGTAGGGCAGGAGAATCGGCTCTGTCGTCTATTGATGTTATTGGCGGATGTCGATTGTGCATCAGATTTACATGCAAATACAAAGATTCCAGTTCTGGAATTTTGTACGTAAAAAAAAAAAAAAAAAAAAAAAAAAAAAAAAAACAAGCAAATAAGTGCACAAATGTAACACCTTAATATCTATGTAAGTACCTAATCAAACGTAACTTGTTGAAGTCCCAGCCCTACATTTAAAGGGGCAGTATGATGTAAAATTGACTTTTTTGATCTGAGTTATAATGTTATTCCTTTATCAAAATCATACCTGCAGTGTTGCCTTGATTCTTTTATGCGTGTTTAAGAAATCTTTTAATCTCCATGGCAACCATTCAGCTGTGGAAAACGCCTTGGTGGATTGATCGCAGCCTTCTTCAAACATGCAGTTTCCAGCATTCAGAGCTTCTGCCTTACAGAGCAGCCACTCCCCTCTGCAACTCACCCCTTAAGCTCTTCAGCAGCAATTAGCAGAACGGCACATCTGCTGAGCTTATTGTACAAGCTACTTTTCAATTAAATTCTCGAGGAAGGGTAATAGAAGAGCCATGCGATGACTTCCTGAATGCAGAGAAAAGAGCAGAAGTTTCTAAAAGAGTCAGAGACCCAATTTCACAGCATTAATTACTTACTTTAATTTATTTTAATTCATATTTGATGTACACAGCATTTTATAACAAATCAAGGTAACATAGTTCCTTGATTGTGCAATAAAATGATTCTACGTACCTGGAAAATGCATAACACTGCCCCTTTAACACATTGGTCAAAAAATCCATCACAAAGAGGAAAAGACATGAACAAGTCACACCTAAATACAAGTGGCAGATATATGAAAAAAAAGTGCGGCAAGCCATTCTTTTTAACAGTTTGTTTTAAATTATGTCACAACAATGAACAAAATGTGTTGCTTTGAAAAGCAGCTCACCTGCTTCTGCACAGAATTAATGACCTTACTGACTGAACTCCAGTTATTATTGTGAACAACCCCGTTGCATAAATAAGTCATTTATTTGAAATCAGCAGCATACATGTCATAACGTTTTACAATGCCAACAAGTGTAATATTTGCAAAGTAAGAATATAACTTCTCATAAAAAAAAAGTGGTATTTCACTGCTAAACCTTTAATCAACAGAATAACATATAAAAGTATGGAAGATTACCCTTAATGTGCTAAGACATAAAAAATTACAAGAGCACCAGGTTTCATTCTGGGAACTTGAGCAAGCACTCAATCACACCAAGATAGAGCAAAAACCAGTTGAAGATTCAATGCCATAGTGGTGGCATCTGCAGACGCATCTACAGCGGGCTCAGACAAAGCAAGCTAATCTCAAGACTCTAGTCCAAACAAACCACAGGCACCACATCCATGAACAGCATAACCCGATAAGGCTGGCTCTGTGTGCGTCTCTCTCTCTCTCTGAGCTTGTCTTCAGAATTAGCAGATGAATGTCCTGAAAATACTGTGCAACTTCAGAAACTGTCAAGGTACGGTAAAACAAGGCTGGGCAGGAAGTGGTATCAGATCCTGCAGATGAGATCATACTGGAAGTTTGCTCCTTTTTTTTTTACAGGGAGATGACTTACTTCCCTGGAAAACTTTAGATTTTAAGTAAGGGTCTATATTCTCCACAATTAACACACAGACATTGATATTTCCAGTTGTTAACTGAATTATTTTGATAACGGTACATTCTACTTAAAAAGGCCAACTGTGATCATTTTGTCTTGGTTATTTAAAGGGGCAGCACATAGTGCCAGTCTGTAGCACAATCAAGTAACTATGTTAACTTCAATTGTGATAAAAATGTCATAAATATCAAATATAACTTCAAAGAATTTTGAATTCTTGATTTAACAACGTGAAATTGGGCCTATGTCGCTTTAAAAAAAATCCTGCTCTTTCTGAAGCTCTGCCTTCAGGAAGTCATCACAACATGGCTCCTCTATTAACCCTTTAACAGCATTTTTATCAGAGTTTTACTGAGAAGTATAATGAGTTCAGCAGATGTGCAGTTTCACCAGGTGTTTGCTAATTGCTTCTAGCTAGTCTGAAGGAACTGAGTTGGAGAGTTGTGGGTGAGGGCTGCTCTGTGAGGTGGTTGCTTGGAAGGTTGGAAACTGCAGCTCTGAGAAGCTGTGCACTCAGTTTACCCAAGCATTTTATATAGCTGAATGGTTGCCATGGAGATTAAAAGATTTCTCAAACTTGCATGAAAGAATGAAGGCAACACTCCCGATATGTTTTTGATGAGGGAGTAACACCATAACATGATGTAAAGCTCAAAAAGTCCATCTTACATACTGCCCCTTTAACAGTAAATTCCGGTATGCAGTGGCTCCTCTTTCTCACAGATACTGTGTGATGTCATCTCCAATTTTAATATTTCTTTATATTAGGAGCAATCAAATATTTAGAATGCTGTTAATTATTCTAAGCTAAAATCTCAATCAGCTGAAATACAATTCATCAGGTCAAAGTTTTGTAGAAATCAGATGTCAAAAATCGGACATCAAACTTCAATCGATGTATCT